TCCCCCAGAGTTAGTACCGGCAATATTATATTCTTAGGCATATGGACGATTTCGGAAGATATTTGGTCTAGGAAGTAGCAGTGTTTGCTGGCGACAGTAAAGTCTGACTTTGAATCCGGAGTCCTTCCGGCGAAGACAGTCTGTAGCTCAACGTAGATCAGTTGGAGAATTAACCAAGTAGTTGGTTTCTACGATATAACGTCGGTAAGGGCATTATACTTTGCCTAGCCAACCCAGTAAGATCCGTTGCACAGGAAGTTACTTTCACGATGGCGGAGCCTTACAGGACGCTAAAGCCCAAAAGAACATCGGGAGGCTGATGACAACCTGCATAAAACGGCCGGCTCATTGCTTAAGAGTGGCAAACCGCGTGATATCTGTACTGCGTGTCATCAAGAAAGCCTTTATTGCTTATGACGAAGACTTCTTTTCCAAGATTTTTGTCTGAATTCGAAATGCGCTATTCGTATCTGAAATTCGTAGACAGCCCAAACTCGAAGTAGCCTATGGTCTGATAGGCGTCATACAGCGAATTCAGGGCATTAGGCTCCGTCTCCTTCATGCTAAATGCCAGTAGAAGGGGAAAATAGCAAAATAAAGTTGAACAGATTACTTTATCTTATAAATACGCCATGACCGTGTGCAGTTGAATAAGAGGTCATGAAATGTAATGACGACAATAAATTCTGCATGTTTCGTCGCCTTTGCCTTGTTCAAAATTCTTCTGGGAAAACACTACTTCAATAAATTGTTAAATATGAAATGAACACTTTCATCATTTAATATTACACCTGATGGCCGTTAATAAATCAAACTTTAAAACTAAAACCTTGCATTCCGAGATTTATTTTAGCCAATTAAGTGAAAACTCTTAAAATTCGACCGTCTTTTGAGAAAGGTATCAGTGTAAACCCAACCAAGGATTGCATGCAAACCCTGCCAGAAGACGGTAGAGAACAGCGGTGCATAAATCATTTGAATAAGTTTCTTAGACAGTACACTCAAAAGGGGCTTATGCACATGCAAAGGTGAAAGTTTGCACGAAACGAGCGTTATAACTTTAATGGGCGTAATTGACAGATACGGGGTAGTATAGGACTGGGAGGACGGGTTCATGAACCGAACTCGAAGGAAGCGTCCTTTTGACTGGAGAAAACGCAACGGCTGCCCGAGTTTCCTTAAAACTATTTCTCGCTCACATGTATAGTTCCTCATTTGATCAAAAGATTCACGCGAGCGGTGGCTGTTATAGGATATGCGTTTTGGGAAAGATTTACAACAATTCAGGTTATCACATTTTCTATTAACTAGCGTTTGGAATGTATCATACTGTCTAGTATCTTTCCAAGACAACCGTATTTACACGCACTAATAGCTGCGTTTGGTCAAACAGACTCGAACAGCGGCCTTGACCGTATAATACTTCTGAAGCTTACATAGTCGTACGTCAGTCCTAAAAAGGGACCAGTGAAAGACGACAGCAGGGGACTTTCAAAAGTTTACCACAGAGCATGGGAATCAGCTCACACGACTGGTAAACTTAGGGTCAACCAGATCAAACAACCTCCACAGTGACTCAGCTACCATTCGCTGAGATGGTAATTCGCAAATCCGGAAGCTCTTGAACCCACCCGACATAGTCCAAGAGCAAAGGAAACGATAGAAAAAAAACATTGCACACGGCCAATAACAACTAGCTCGAAAAGTTATCCGAATTCCCCTTCGATTTCGCGGAAGTTTCGGAAATGAAGAGCTGTGTCAAATTTTTGAAATGCCGGAAACGTAATAAATTCCTTTTGCGGGTCCTATTTCCCTCCAAGCTGATTATTTCGGAATTCTCAACTTAAGTTTTCATAGGTAATGTTTATAATTACGCTGGACAGAATTAGAGATTCGATTGTTGTACTAGTTGTGAAGAGTATGTGGCACTAAGACCTCTTCCGAATAGACAAAAAATCGCACATGCGACTCTGGAGGAAAGCGTAAACTTAGACTAAACAAAATTGTAATATTCACTCGATTTAAGAGAAATGAGCAAGGTACGAAGAAAAATTATTTTTATAAGGCAGAACACAGATCCCTAGAAAGTCGGTAATCAGCCTTTATGGATGTTTTGGCTGATTATGAATGATTCATATTGACCCAACTTTGAAAAACTCGGTGCCTAGTGGGATTCGAACCCACGACAACAGGGGAAGGCTTTCGTGCAGCCAACGCTCTAGCCACTTAAGCTACGAGGCCCCACCAGGAGACGTGCAACGTCTGGAATCCACCAAATCTAAGAGAGCGAGCTGATTGTCCTAACAGGATTTCCTGAGCAATCCATCTAGAATCCCCTAGATGACTACTAGGCTCACGTATTTTATAGATTCCTTTGCGCAAATTTTTTCACAGTTGGGTCAATATAAATTATTAGTATAACTGACTCATTGCCGTCGATGGACTTACCTGATCCGCCTCGGCGTGCGTACCCACCACTAAATGAAATGGACTTCTCTTCAGTTTACCTGACCTGACCAAATTTCCAATTGAATCCCCGGATCACTGAACGGCTTAAAATTTCATCAAAACAACATCTCACAGAAATTAGACATAATGAACACAGTGGACGCCATTGCAACAAGCGCTAAGCGCTTACTAAGTGCCCTACACCACTTCTCCGTCATTGGGGAATAGAATGGGCTACATTGTCCAGATCTGCTACCGCGGATCGTCACGCGCGGAGAGGTACAGTTCGGGACATCAGTGAGGTCGGCTAGATCAGGCATGATCGCGGCCGTACCAAGTGCAAGTAATTACACCATTTTATATATCAAAATACGTGGCAATAAAAGTGATATCATAGGTCGCACGATAAACCATACTTAACAGCATAGGTATTAACCAAAAACCCTAGCACGTGTTTCGCCAATATTCGGCTGCAGGGCACAGCTGTGAGGGGTTCGGCTCGTCAATGGGTCTCCAGCGGTCCCCATGTGCTTTATGGCACAGCACAGTTTTTTAAATTTCCCCAGAAATTAATCGTCAAATTGGAACAAATCAGTCTATTTGAGACTTATGCATAAACTGGGATTGAAATTTGGCGTATGTATTTGGACTGATGTTCACCAGTCACAACACAACAACCACGTAATATTCGTAAACCGTCAACAGGCAGTCAGTGTCAAGACAGAATCAAGAAAACCGGAGGCGGGAGAGGCCGTAGGTGGCTGGCACAGCGAAAGCACTCATCTAGACGTACCACCACACCCCCCTGGTCCACAAAGTACACCGACCAGGGCTTTATACGGCAAGAAAATGGGGGGTGGGGGAGGCTCGCATCTTAACTGGAGCGGCGTAAGACTGCTACTCCGCCTGCCGCCACACTCTCAGTGTTGGCATTTATTATGGGTGCGTATTCCCAGTAACACCTGCCGCACCCCGATCTTGACCCCCGGTTGGTTCAGTGCATTTACCGTGTGGTCCGCTTTAAGGGCACAACACACACATGCCTTGAGTACACGATGACTGCATATTTTACCTGCGAATGCACCGAAAAATCAAATAACTGTGAAAAAGGAAAACTAAGCTAGTTCACGAAGCACTGCCATGGTAGGGTAACATGTCCTAAACGGTGCGTTCTGTGAACGCATTTTCCGACCTCGCTTGTTTTGTTTGGAAATCATCCACGTGTAGTCTGTACTACTTCTGGGACAAGCACCTACTTTGCAGCTTTCAATATTTAAGCCCCAAAAGCTATGCCACACTCTGCGCCCTCGAATTATCATATGCATCATATTGCTTTTTACCACAACTCTGCATCAGGACCTGCCCTATATTTTTGACGTCGACGCAGATTTTATCAGCAGAACTCCCATTCTGCCCAATAACAAAAACACGGACATCTGCTGGACTCTCGACCGACATTTAGGACAAGGCTTGAAATTATAGAACAACCCGAACACATCCTAACATCGGCCGCCAAAGCACTCCATCGGGTGCCGAAACCACAAGGATAAGATGTTTTTGATGGTCCTCGTCAACTACGGCGGGCTAAGCATTATCGGTCCCTATAATAGAATTTGGGTACACTTTCAGCCCTGCGGCAAAACACCCCTCTATCCACACTAGTCGTTTCTAAGCATGACAACGATATTCACCTGACATTCATGGGCAAGTATTTAGACTAATCTATTCTGCGACATCATCCGTAAAATGAGCTGCGTGTATGATGATTCAGCGCTCGCCTACATGTCGCTTCTAGTCTAAGGCCTAGAACTAGTTGCAGATGGAAGGAGAAAAAATTAACGCTTTTTCATTACTGTAACTAACTTGTGTACAACAGTAAAATTGAAATTTTAGGAAGAGAACAGAGAATTTGCCGTTACCGCCGCCTTCCTCATCGTTCGAAGAAGACGCGGCTGCTGACAGTGTCATATAGGAGAGTCCGCAAAAGGAAAACGATAGGTTATGAGACCGGTGAACCTCCATGCGGGGTTTACAGATCAGATCTAGAGCAGATGAAGCGATGTTTATCACAACGTTTCAGTAAATGGAATACATGTGCGCTTGGTTTTGGCCTTTCCGGGACTCTTGCGCAAGCAGCAAGTATGCAGACATATGAATATAACCCTACCTACTGATACATAGACAGTAGAAAATATTTCAGTAACCGATCTTGTTTACTGCCAGAAGCTGTTTGGACCAGAACCAGCCTGGGAAATTATGATTGAAAAAGGTGAGATGACTGATTGAGCTGCTATTCGATGGGTATGTCTGCATACTTGTTTGCGAGTGCAGTGTGGCCGGGACATAATCCTGAACAATCGCCTCCAAAATTGCAGGTGGGAGGGGGGGGGGAGATAGTTGAAGAAGGATAAGATATTCTGTACAACCAACATCTACAACACACGCACACACACACACGAGACTTCATCTTTCCATCGTATTGAAGCCTTCACGAAAGAGGGTCAGTAGAGCCAGAGAGCACGAATTTGTTTTGAAAGAGTGGGAAAAGTGAGTCAGCAAGGGGGCTTTGTACTTTCGCACTTTGCCATGGCGAGTAGGTCTTTGTAAACTCGAGAGTTCAGGAATCGAGGATAGGAGTCTCGCTGCATGAGTGTGTAGATTTGTACTTGTGCCTCATCGAAAGTGTGTGGCGTAGGCTCGGTCATGTTGTTGTTGATTATGTCGCGAACTCGAGAGTCCAAGCTGACCTATAGAAAGCGAGAATGGCAAAACGACAAGACACTGAAGGTCGCGGTTGCACAGCCTTGAAAAACATGTAATGAGGCCAGAAAAGGGAGGACCGACGGTTTAAACACAACTAACATCCTGGTAATGAACCCCAAGTAGTACCACTTTTACGGACCAGCGGATCCCAACTGAAGTGAGTGAGAAAGCTGAAGGGGTTAATTTTGCGAATCATGATGGAGAAATTAATTTATCAGACAATAGGGGAGATGCTCGCAACCTTTAAAAAACCTAGACAAATTAATCTCGTGCTTAGGCCTTTGAAATTCACTCTCCTAGCTTTCTGTCCCGCGTTTAGGCATTCTTAACATTGATATGTAGGGACTTTTAAATTGAATGCTGCCTTTACTTTCTCTTGTTGAAAAGGCAAGGATGTTAGGCGACCTGTTCTTGTCAGAAGAAGGTTGCTACGTGAAAAGTACTAATAAAGTAAGAGAATTTTGAGGATGCATCTCACACGGTTGGCCGTTGAACGTCTCACGAAAAACTTGTTTAATTAAGTGAATCGAAAGGAAGCTGGACCACTTATAGCATCTTAGTAGGAATGAAGACGTTCAAAAGACCTTGAGAGTGAGGCGTAATCCTGAAAATCAAATGATGGAGGTTGCATAACTGAAATGCAATTCCCCGAGGCGAGTTTTCGCACAATCAGCATGCCAGTGGTTGACGTTCGAGGTTGGGCGAGAAGATTGTGCTATATGAGCGCGGATTACTCACATGTGTAGTAAGACCCTTCAGTTTACACAAGCAGTACCCGAAAGAGGCTTTTTGACAAAGGCAAGGAAGCCTCAGTTGGATTTGAATCCACAACAAGCATAAGGCTTGAGTACGGCCAACGACCTAGCTACCCGAGCTACGAGGCCCAGTCGACAGATGTTCATAAATGGGTCAAGTGAAGTATTCAAATCCGCTAAAAATATTTATTAAGCATGCGAGCCTGCCAACCACCTGGTGAATTCTAAATGGATTTCTCAGAAAATCCTGCTTGAACAGTCAGGTTGCTGTATCATAACTGGTGGACTCCACATGTTGCGGTAGGCCGTCCGGGTAACCTGACTCAGATGTAATTAAACTCAGGACTCCCCTTGGGGTCTCGTAGCTCATGTGGCAAAAACGTTAGCCGTACTCAGGCCTTGCCCTTGTTTTCGTGGATTCGAATCCCACCGAGGCGTCCGGGTTATCCACAGCTGGGTCAACTGGATTATTTAAATCTGCCAGAAGAATAAAGCTGGCATTTAAAATTGTTTGACCTCAGTAACTAGATCGCGAAGACGTCGAGCGGGCGTGTAGCAGTTGTCATTTTAAATTCCATACCTCGAGAGATATTACAAGGCGACCACTGAGTTGCCACAGCGAGTTTGACTTTGGTACGCATCAAAGCTCTTTAAGTTCGGCAGGACCGTTTAAGAGTAGATAAAGGGCAAAGTCTGACATATTTCATCTACCGCGTTTCCGGAGCAGAAAACCGGTGTTTTGTGTTCATAGTCTTGGTGACATCTCTTCCTTTCACAGGTATGGAACTATTGCAAGATTTCAAGAGTTGCCGAATCGCTTCTCTCTGAATTCAATGCTGAACTTTTAACGGCACAACACATTTTTGGAGAAGACGCAATACGCGACCCGGCCTTGCATATTACTTGTTACTGCCTACTGACTTTTAAAAAGGAAGTGCTGTTTAACTTGGGTAGGCTAACTGCCTTTTTCCAAGATAAAGTAAATTTTCGCTTAAATGCCACATTCCGCTAATTTGTCGGTTGTTACACAAGCTAATTTGGCATAATTTACTTTTGCTGGCCATTTTGGCGGTTTCCCTGTGTTCCGCTCTTCTACATCATTATGTCGTGCCTTTGGGTCAACGATTACACTAAACTCTTGTGGGATTGGCCAACGTCATTCGTCCTTGGGTTTCCACTGCCTATTTCGCTGCCTTGACCTCTGAACTTGGCGTCTTATTGTGCAGGCGCTATATTCAACTTCCTTTGCTTTTTGTTGTTACATCTCGTTAGCATTAAACTTTTCGGGTCGCTCCCAAGGTCCCGCACGGATCTATATGAACCTATTCACGGAATTAGAACATTTATTAAAAACTTCATCCTTTTTCACCGCTCTCTTTTCCATCAATTAGCCCCGCCCATATAACCCCCATTCCCACCAGTCGCGTAAGACACGATGACCTATCCCCCGCATTCTGGATGGGGCCGAATATTGCGTCGTTACCTATTTTTTCTGTACTTTCTATTCCGATGGAGCAGGTAGCGATTTACCGGCGAAGTCATTCCAGAGTTGCAACTCCGTTGAACGTTCTCTCCCCTCTCACAGGCGGAATAATTGAAATACCAACTGCAGTTCGTGTGGAAGGAATGGCGGTAAAGAGGGTGAGGAAGACTGGGACGATCATTTATGACGTTTTAGTCGTCGCCGGTCAGAAGTGGACATTCTATGTCCCCCCTTGCTCTCGTCCGTATTCCTGTTAATGATGGCTTCTCGTCATGTGACTGCCTCCAGCCCCAAGTAGGAACGAAACAAGTATATTAATTCCTGTGAGCAAATTGGTGAAGCGGCAATGCCATGAGATTTTCGGCCAAATGACATTCTTGCTGAAGAACGGAGGGCAGCAGTTTGGCAACCGGATAAGGCAACGCCAGTTGGTACCATGCTGTTCTCAAAAACTTTCATCCGGTCAGTGGCAAATTTAGCCCATGCGCTCAGTAATTTTATGGACAACGAAGCACCTCCGGAACTTTTATTATGGCCGGTAACACGAGGGACTGTTGGGGCGGTTTGTGAGTCTCCCCCGGTTTTGCGATCGGAAAAATCCTCTCACCTGAGTAGAAATCGTACGTAAGCCTCCCAATGCCAACCAAGCTTTGCATATCGCAAATCCAATGAAGGACTTTTCATCGGACGATTGTGTGCGCTGGTGGCGTTTGTGGAAAGTAGTACGCCCGAATGGGCTGCTCGGCTGGATTCTGCACATTCATGACATTTGGGTGGACTATGGGTTAGACTTACGGCACGTTGCACCCTTTTCTGCCACTGTCTCTGATGATGGGTTCAAGTGAGAACCCGAAACGTCAGGCGAATAAAGACCTTGTTCCAGCGACCGCTTCGTCCCTTGATCAACTAGTTCCTGGAACTCGCATCTTCGCTTGTATCGGCAATTAATTAGTTAGGAAATATTCAAAAATGAAATGTTGTTGTTGCGACGACTGTTAGTTCGCTTCGGGTCGCATATTAACTATACAAACGGTTGTACGATGGAATACGACCCCCGTAGTGCAGGCGGTCAGGAGGGGTACCTGGTTATGTGTCCTGATTCTGGCAGCCACACTGACCGCACCTTAACCCTAACCCTAAACTCAACAATAACCCTAATCTCCTTTGGATGTAGAGAAAGGCTTACTGTATTGCGGTGGGTCTCCTATTACCGTGTCCTACCTGCAAACACATAAAACACTAATTCATGGGCCTTCGGCTATTCCGAAAACGCATTTCAAGCATGGGTATGATAAAAATTGCAGTCATGACAAAAATCTAGTTTCTCGTTAGCACAGAACTAGCATTAATCAGGCCCTACCTCTGTCCGTTTAGGGAGGCGCGAAAGAACGCAGAAACAGCATTTTTGTGGCATTTAGACTCAGTTCACGTTTGTGCCTCTAAAAGCAGTCAGGACTACAGGTACCATTCCGCACGAGGCCAGCTACGATAGCCGTTTAGACGAGGCATAAAGAGCTCTCCTCCAGGTAGACACATGATGGCAAACCAGCTGTTGACAAGAACGCCGTCAACAGTCGCCATATGAGCCGGACTTCTAGTTCAGCCGTCAAGCGAGGGATACTCGATCGCTTTGCGTGTTTAGCTAAAACACCCAGCTTCCTGGACAAGAGGGTGTGCTGTGTTGGGGGCAGGACTAGGATATGAGGATGACGCCTGAAGAAAGCAGATGGCGACGCAGTTCAACATAGTGCGGAGGACTGGACGCTGTGAGGATCTGAAAATCGACCTTGTGCCAATGCCTCGAGACTGTCAGGAACGTTGGCCGCGCGCTCCCTGTTTGACCCCAGGCTGTTGTCAGTGTCTGCAGGCCGGACAAAAGCCAGCCGTCCGGCCTCCTGTGCGAATGACCGACGCATGTGCATGTTTACGTGCGTGCGTGCGTGCGTCCAACCAGCACTGAATGAAGACACGCACACCGCACCTACACGCTTCCGAGCGCGTTAGGGCACACGGTGACAGACAAGTGAGGAGGCCAATCAGAGAAAAGGAGGCTGTGACCAGCCTCATGTAGGTGACAGCTAGCTGCGTCGACGTGGGCGTTTGCGTGAAGCCCTGGCGACCATCGTCCATGCTTGGGCACGGGGCTGACAGGCGAAAGTAGTTAGATCAACACGATAGGCTCTCCCTACCCCTTCTCGCGGATAACGAAAAAGGGCGTCAGAAATCAGCAGCCCAGTTAAATCTATAAGTCCAGTTTTACACGACGACGTGCCACAAAGAAAAAATTAGTTTTTTTTCGCGTTCGGTTATTACGGGAGAATTTATCACAGCCTGGTCATGCTTTGAAAGCTTACTGGAGTGATTTATAGTCCTGCTTACAGCACAGCTAATAGACACACACATGCGGCGCCGAAAAAGGTTAGTTAAGTATACCTGTCACTGTCCTGGTCTTATGCCGACAGTTCGTCGAAAGACGTGTGTGCAGGGTCAATGAATTCAGAACAAGACCCAGTCTCTCATTCAGTAACAGACTTTGGGGGCACCGAGAACTTTAACAAAACTGTTGACCTAACATATGGTGAAAAGACTCATAATGAGGGATTTTGCGTCGGTCACAGCTAAATGCCTGGAAAGGTTCATGTAGCTTCTGTAGGGAATAAAGGTCATTTTCGGTTTTTGCAAAATGGACTTCCAAGAGTGCTGAAACTCACTTCTTTAGGAGAGAGAATAGAAATGTAGTTCTCGTAGATTATCCGAGCCTTTTCCTCTATTAGTTCAGGACAAGTCTCCCGTTTGAGGTCTTCACAGGCCAGCCAGAATAAAATGTTCTCCTCGCTGTATTCGGAGCGGAGGAAATCCCGGAAGGCACGCTGGCCGACTATATAAGAACGAAGTAGTAAAAAGCAAAATGGTCAATTCCGCGAAAGACAGTGCAGTTATCGAATGCCCTTGAATGAGCAGCCTCCACGGAGTCCACCACTTCTACCTGACTGAAACAGATTGTTAGGCTGGGAAACTGCATCCTACAGGAGTTTTATTCGGCTAAAGGAGAAAGTACTTCCCTTTAAAGAAAAAAAGGATGCTATCTGACACCGGGAAGGTAGATGGCTCTTTCAACTTTGACAGGTACGAACCTAGCAAAGGCGGCGTAATATGCAGAATATAATGACGTCATAAAATTTTGTAATCTCTTATTCGACTGCCCATGACCCCTGCATATTATTCATAGACCTGTTGGCAGATTTTGAATAATTCATATTGACCCAACTGTGAAAAACTCGGCGTCTCGGTGGGATTCGAGCCCGCACGGTAAGGGGAAGGCTTTATTACAGCCAACGCTCTAACCACTTGAGCTACGAGGCCCGACGCGAGTTTAATCACATTTGGGTCAAGTTACCCGCCCAACCTACTGCAACGCCTGGAATCCAGAAAATCTGATACAGTAGGTTGACTGTCCAAGCAGGATTTCCTAAGTAATTCAATTTGAATCCACCAGATGACCATCAGGCTCATGAAATTCATAGATGTTTTGGCAGATTTTGAATAATCCATAATGACTAAACTGTGAAAAATTCGGCGCCTCATTGGGATGCGAACTCACACGGAAATGGGAAGGCTTTACTACAACAAACAACACATTGAGCTACGAGGCCTCGAGTTGGGTCAAAAACATCTACGAATCACGTGAGCCTGGTAGTCAGCTGGTGGATTCTGGGTGAAGTACTTAGAAAATCCTGCTTAGGTTGTCAACTTACTGTATCAGATTTGGTGAATACCAGACGTTGCAGAAGGTTGGGCGGGTAACTTGACCCAAATGTGAATAAATTTGCGTCGTCCAGCGGGGCCTCGTAGTTCAAGTGGTTAGAGCGTTGGCTGTAATAAATCCTTCGCCTTACTGCGTGGGTTCGAATCCCACCGAGGCGCCGAGTTTTTGACTGTTGGGTCAATATGAATCATTGCATATTAGTAAGAGAAAATGAGCAAAAGGAAAAGGTCTAGGGGATCAGAAGTGATAGGTATGCAAAAACAGGTAATGCTGACCCGACATACGAGTGGACATGATGTGAGGGAGGAGGGAAGTCGTATGGGTAAGATAGTTCGGACGGCAATGAAATCTCGCCGAGCGCGATTATGGGGTTCAGCTGCCTAAATAGTTCTGAAAAACGATGGAGACGGCCAGTCGCCTCCAACGGTAGGATTTTGAATGCAGCCATCGGATCCACCGTACGGTCAGCGCACATCAGGTGTTTCGTACTTGAACTCCTGGGTACCTTGTTTTGCGCTCCCAATTGCCGACTGCCCTTCCATGTGACTAGTATATTTGCATCCGAAATCACATGTGAACTAACTAACTAACTCTAACTAACAGGTCGCCAGTTCGAGCCTTTAATTGGACTATCCGGGACTGCCGTCGTAGTGCTTATGAACAACAAATTTGAGGCGGCGTATTTGCGTTCAGTCGCGCGTGGGGGCCATCGTTTTATTACGCTTGACACATTATCACCTTTGAAAGGGAGGTAGATGCTCGCGGAGTATTTTGGCGCCGGAATTCCTAGTGGACAATACCTATCGATGAACTTCTACAGATACCCGTTTCCAGGGCGAACGTCCTTTAATATGCTAATCTCATTATCCATCATACCTGAGGAAAAGATACCAGTGGCTCTATTTCACAGACAAAAATCAAATTTCATTTTGTCCGAATTGGAATGACAATTAGAAAGTGCATGTATTGTCCTTTTTATGTGGTATTTTGATAAAGAGTTCTTTGGATAAAACTGTCCGTCTGCCTTTTTACAAGAATTTATATGTAAGGCTGTGTGTCGCTCTTCCCATGTTCGACCGTAAATTTGAATTTCGAATTGCCTTGTTCATGGCTTTGACTAATGATTCCCCGTCTGTCGGGTTATTGACTATGACACATAATCTATAAACTGCAGCTCACTGTAAGAAGAAGATGCAATCACTGGAACAAGAAGATTATTGGCCTGGCGCCTCGGATTCTCACTCGAACCCATCATCAGTGACGGTTGCAGATGAAGATGGTGGAGGCACAAAGAAGGGGTTCGAGTGAGAATCCGAAACGTCAGGCCAATAAACTTCTTATTCCAGTGATGGCATGTTTTTCTTCTGAACAACTTCCCGGAACTTGCCTGTTTGCGTATATCGGCAAGCTCGCTGTAAGTTCCGCGTTACTTATCGCCAGAGAATTAATGGGTAAATGCCCGCTAGAACCGGTCCCCGTGGACTGCCCATAGCTACGTCGTCTGTACAGCTACCGGTTGAACAAGAACTGTACGTTTTTAGTGCATGATCGTAGTAGTTGTCGTAGCTGTCCTGGCCCCAAACACATTTCAGACGGGTGCTCTCAAACTGCCAATGGTGTCATCCAATCGCGAGTTTGTGAATAGGTACTACATGGCAAGTGATATCATGCGCTTATTCGGTATATTTTGCGCCTTCAACTCATCCACGAGCGATGGAGTATCCTTATTAGTGCAGAATTCACCACTGATCAAATATGTCGTATCGACATTCCTGGTTCATGCGATTTTGGTAGCTCATATACTCTGTAAGCATGTTAGTTTACTGGTCTGAAGTGGCGACTTCGCCTTTTTACCAGTAAGGTCTTCCGGTGTATTTATTCGTTCCGCCAGAAAATCTAATGAGGTCGCTAAGCACTACCTCCATCTTAAATGATCAGCCTCGCTTTGAATCACAATCCTGCTCCCTTTGTCAGGTCTAAGAACAACAATATTAGTAGCCTGGCGTGGATAATTTAGAGCCGGCAGGTGTGACTGCTGAGTAACCCGGGATGTTCTATACTGATAGCCGATGCAAACGACGTCGGCGTTAAGTCCGCTAATTGGTGAAAGAGTTGCAATCTCTATCGGTTCTATTTTGACTTCTGTTATAAAGGATTCAGGCCCCAAGGATGGGCTTCAAAATTTTATGCCATCATTAAATTCCGCATACTTCGTCTCTGTCCTGTTCAAATTTATCCCCGGAAAATAATGCTTCAAATTTCTGAGAGATTTTTAGGGCAAGAAATATGGCACATTCAAGTTGAAAGCCCCCTAAAAGATTAACTTTACTTGTATAATTATTAATATTACTTCCGATTTTAACCCTACCATAAACATCGGTTGCAACGACAACAGCAATCTGCTTAAAAAATTTTTCCAACTTTGATAGCATGTTTTTCAACTTCATAAGCAATTATTATCTTCGTCATAACAACGGAGTCCAACAATACCTACGGTCTTTGCTCCTGAACTGACATATGAAAATCACGCCATTAGTGCAAGCAGTTGGGTTGTCAGACTAGATTCAACCGCAAAGATTCTTTCTCAAGAATAACGGACACGGTCAGTCTGCGCAGTTTTCACTGCGGGCTGGAGTCCGATCCTCATACTGCTGACTCATGTTTATGTTTACGGTTCAGTGGATTTCGTCTACTCTGCTCGGCGTAAATTCAGCTGCGACCTTTGACACAGAACTTGTTTATAAATTTTGTGCTTTAATCACACCTGAGCAGGTTCCTCATTTACAGCATTCAGGAACAAATTGCAGAATTGATTATAATATGAGAATTTTGATTGATTATATCAAAATACACATACACTATCTTTGCGTTGCAACACATACAGTGACCAATCTCATGAAATCTTAGCCAAAATTCTGGAATGCGTTTCCGATTAGGAAGGATTACTTAAGTGGGGCTGTTATATCATGCAGCATAACCCTATAACATTTCGGACTCAGCAGGATTTCGGCTTTTGAATGCATTTCTTTTTGACCTCCTGCAGAAACCACACTCGGTAAAAAATGAATGCTTATGTAGCATGCATTTTTCCTATTGATTTTCGATGTTCTTATAAATTCAAATATATTTTATAGAAAACATGCACAAAAATATGCTTTCTTTGCTCATTTGGTAGGAAATCACATTGTCTTCATTTTTTATGGCTGAATAAAGTGTGTATTAAGGTGTTAAAAAGTTTCCCAATTCCCGAATAATTTTCAGCCTGATCTGTCATTCCATCAGCGTTTAGCAATTTCAGTCTACAAGGTGCATGCTTTTTGCGTAAAGAAAATCACATATTCCTCCGTGCCTTTAAGAAGATATCACCTAGATTTCATGACATTTTGCAATGGATCCGGACTGTGTTGCATATTTCATGAGGAGCATTAGTAAACGGACATGTGCGGTCTTGCATGCATGGAAATAGCACAGTCTTAAAAACCTTATAATTAGAAACTTTTTAAACCCAAAGTATACAATTTCTTCGGGCATAAAAAATGAAGACAATGTGATTTCCTTCCAAATGAGCAAAAGAAAGCATATTTTTATGTATGTTTTCTGTAAAATATATTTTAATTTATAAGACTATCGAAAATTACTAGGAAAAATGCATGCTACATCCAAAAATAGGGGAGGGCGGCAGGGGTCCCAGTGTGCGCGACGTCTGCTGGCAACCGGGTCTGCCACCGCACCTCTAGATGTTGCCATTTGTTATGGTGGGCAATCCGATAACGCCTGCAAGAATCTGATATGGCCCCCGTATTGGCCCAAAGCATCTGCTACGTGGCCGGTTTGGAGGGCGCACACACACGATATATTTTTACAAAAACAACGTCAAGTTGAACAGCGTTGGTGTTTAGAAATCATCAATCACCAGCTATCACACGAGAACGACAGAATGAACAGAGAAAAATATCGATAAGAACACTACAGAAAAATCCGGAAAACCATGTAAGAATCAGTCTGCATTTTGTCTGGATTGTGAAACAGTTGCAGAAAGTGACTTGCCCCGCATAAATGATGATTAGACGGATTACTTCCGAATCAGAGAAGTACCAATGACCCAACAATATCCTTGTCGTAGTCTGTAGAGGAAATCGCAACTGTGCTCGGTACCCGACGAAAATAAGCAAATTCAGCAGATTTGGCAATCAGACGCCCAGCTAATATGCAGGACATCCAGTCCTCTCGAGAGCAACTGTTTGACCGTCGCGAACGATGATGTCTATCGTGTGCCCAAGCAGTGGGCGCGGCACCTTTCACTTACGGGCGAACTTAATAATCGTAAGGCAGACCTACACAGCATTTAAATCACCCTACCCTCCAGTACCAATCAGGTTCCAATATCAAAACAACCAAAAATGGGCAATGGCCGGCAAAGTCAAAATGTCCGTCTGTGTGTTTCGCACACACGAACTGGTCCGTCCGCGATGGACCAGGTTTTCACAGAAACAAGGGATTAGTTCGTATCTGCTCTGAATGGGAGTGCCGTAGACGCCATATCCAGAAGAAGCTATTTCAAGCTGACTCTCCGTCATCCTGTCAGTTGGCAGCCTTCCGAGTCACGACTTTCCGCACATCGTGTGAACTCCAAAGTGTGCCAGATTTAATATTGGTGAGGAATGCGCTGGAGTGACATTAGGACGGAGTCCCCCAAATCGCCATCATTCAGACTTACACAACGTCTGCCGCACCCTCTCTTACCTCACCCGCCTGAGCCCCGTAGCAAGACAGAGTAATGACCGGAGACGGGATCGGTCGTAATGGCTGACGATGCTGAGGAGTCCGTCTACACATGGTGCAGATAACCTGGTCCGCGCACGATGGACCAGGTTTCTACATAACAAGGTATCGGCTCGGATCCAGTCTGAGTAGGAGTGCCATAGAAGCCACGTTTAGAGGGGGCCATTGCGGCCTGACTCCCTGTCCTGAAGGGAGGATGGAGTTATCCCGTCAGGTGGTGGCCTTCCAAGCTAAGGCTGACACATCTACACACAGTACTGACTACGAAAACCGAGTAGTGACCATGTGATCGCACCTTGCTTGAAGACAACCTCGCAAGGAGCCATAGGAGACATCCTTCTAGTTGGGTTTCCGCAAACAAGGTCACCTGACTGATGAACCGTCCCGGGATCCAGCAGCGTCAGGTGGCGAACCTGAGAGATACGCGGAGGCATGCGGACAAAAGATGGACTCGCACGACAGTGATCCCCGTCGCTCTTCAACAATGACCGCGCGACGAGCTCGTCATTCTCTCATTAATGAATGGCGGCACATGGCACTATAAACTTCGGATGTGAAATAAACATATCCCATCGCCCTCCTCTTCCTTTTCAACTGTGTATATGTTCCATGGGGTGGCAGTTTTTTTCCGAAGGCTCTATCTGTACTGCACGGCCGACGGCTATAAATGCTGGCGACATAACCACAAAGGCCAGTTACAGGCAGTAAGGGAGAGTCGTTTGGAATGTCGGTTTCGGTGGTGTGAGGGTGTGAACACGTGGTGCCTTGGAATTTGTTGAATCTGACTGCCCCTCTGTGGAGTCCAATAACTGACCGGTCTCATAGGCATTTTCGATCGTGATCATCGCGTGACGACCGCGTCCGTCAGTAGTATCACCTATCAGGGCAGTTATTCATGTGGTCATGTTGCCCACCTGGGTTTATGGCGTTTGCGACGTGGAAGGAAGGCCACTGCTCTCACATGTCCCTCCCAGCACAGAGAGACATGAATTCGGTAACTCACGCATCATACGAGTTTCGCTCCAACGAAATTTAATGTGACTTCAGGTTAAGCTCCGCCCTCCTGAGTAAACGGGGTTTGCACGCTGTCTTTACTTCTTTCTATTACCGGCGCATGCCTTCAGAGCATAGTTTCGATTTTTTTAAGGCACATGCTTTGTCCGCAAGTGTATCTACGACAGTAAACAGTGGCGTCTAAAATGCCACCGACACAGTCCATTAATGTTGTCAACTTCTCTACTAAACCAATTTCCTCAACCGTTGCAGGTTGTCCAGTCCTGTATGGCCGATCGAAAATACCGGGCCAATTCAGTCCTCGTCTGAGTGTGGCGATTGGCTAATGAAGACGTGACAAGGAGAACAACGAAGAATTAGAAGGGAGACAGATACACGACAATGAGCAGTGCGTGGGCGAGTGTGGACACAGCTGTCTGCCGTCGCAGTTATCGCCGAAACCAAGCCTCACCTACAGACACGACGAAACATTTGAAAGATGATTGGTCCACGAACGGTGGGCTGACTGTTCGTGGGCATTGACGACTGCCGTGTACGGCAGTCCGTGGGTGCGCGCGCGAGCGAGCGGGCTGAATTTAGCGTACGCGGACGAGCCCACTCAAAGGCGGACAAAGAAACACGGAACAGAGGAAAGACGTTTAGAAGTCAGTATTGTCTCGACTCAAACTTACCCATGCCGTCCGGGGTAGTAAAGCAACGCATAAGGTTGTCGAAGGACTCGGCCCAAGACTGCAGATCGTCGTAAGATGTCCTGCAAAGACAGCAAATTAGACACCTACTAATACATTGAAAATAAATGACGAAAGCCATGACATATCTGCAAAGTACTGAATCATTTTTCTGGCCGTGTGAAAAAGATCCGAGGATAGGTGAGGAGCAGATTTTCGACAATCCCTTCTCTGAAGGCCTCTGAACCATATTTTTAACATGTTTCCTTTGGAGTTTGAGTTTCGACTCTAATACCAGGGGCGCATGTTATCCATTTTTTTGCAAAGTATTGACATAAGGACTAGAGAATATACTCGCCTAAGCTGCATCGGAGTGGGCCCTTCGAAATGACATTCAACCATCTGCTTTGTTGTTCAAAATTGCAAGAACAAAACAACAGATGAAAGCTCATCTTGCGAAGAGAAATATTGGGCCGAACGGAAAGTTGCATTTGAATCAGTTAACCGGTATTTCAGTCCACTGGTCTGCGTTTTGAGTCACAGACTACATCCTGTCTTCTGGGTTCACGATTAGTCAGTGTCACACGCTAGTGGACATCAGTAATCTGTCCTCCATAAAAAAACGAATCACTGACTACGCGCCACTGAGCGGTCGTTTGTGAGGGGTCTAGACTGGAACTACATGCGAACACGAACTCGTCCATATTCTGTCCCGGCATAGACCGTTTAAAATCAACCCATGAGGCATAGAATAGCAGTATCAAAACCGAGATGTCATTTGCAGACGCGCTGTTATAAACACGAATAAACTAGTGGATCGGAAGCAGACAGTATTTAAAACAGAAGATGAAGATGCGATCACTGGGACAAGAAGTTTATTTGCCTGCAAGTATTTAAAACCTTCCGATTATGCAATTACTGGAGATTTAAAGCAGCTTCTTCGCTATGAAATTGCTTGTAAAGAGGAAGATTGAAGCACACTGGTAAAATCTGATGAAAAATGGTAAACGCATTTTCGACCAAAGAGGATCACAGTCATATCGTTTTTGGCTTTGTAATTTTGCAGTGTTTTCCCACTTAAACAACCACCGAATGGATAAAGAACGTTACCCCAATTAACTGTATAGCGCTTTGAACGGCCGTCGCCACCGCCGCCGGCTGACGGGCGGGTTGGCATATCAAACGGCCTGCACCGAGTTGTCAGGCCGGTAAAGACTGACCAACAAACAAAATATGTCTGTATCTGGGTCATTTAGAAGAAAACTGAAAAGATGATGGGTTGTGAGGTCACGTCCGTCTGTTCGAGAAGGCCCTCATTTCGTTGACCGCAACTGGTGGCATGATTTTCCTCCAGGTCAACGGTTCAACGCCGACAGCTAAGTGACCACCGCTACAGGAATTAAATCCGGTCTGGTTTCTTGAAGACATAGCCAACACCACTGCAAATGGCTAGGTAAAAAAGGTGGACTAATCAGCACTCCTGAGTGTGGATATAATCGACGACAGTGTAAAATGCGTGAACAGTCGATGAAATCTCCGAAAATGCGTGAAATATAAGATAAAATTGAGGTAGGGTTGCAGTAACGGCGGGCTCAGACCACGATTTCAGGCTAGTCAACGCAGCAGGGCTGTTAGCCTTATCGGCGAAGAGGACTGTAAGAAAGCATTATTTACACCTGTTTGCGTAAGCAGAAGGATTCTCACAAATTGAGTATTTGCAATTACGCAACATGTCACTAACAGTCTAAGTTTTTCCGCATAAAATTTACAGATTTGTATAAAGGTCGTCCAGAAAAGGCTTTTTCAGGTAGCTCTAAGTTGGCATGGAGTTTTGAACTGGATTCCATCAGTTTTGGTGGAATAACCGCATAATATCAAGGCGTACTTAGGCAGCGACCGTATCATTTCGACCAAACGCTTAGTATCTGTGTCGGGATTATGACCGAACGACTTAGTAGAACGTATATTATCAGCCAATTAACACACGAATATTACGCTGTTATTCCGCTGAACGTGATCAAATATGCTCGAATTTTTGTGTCAGCTTCAGGGTTGGAACTGAATATTGGAGTACATATATACAGGAAACCCCAGCAGACCGATGGGGACGCCCGAATGAGTTAAAACCTTCGGTATACCGTCTGCATTGATAAAAAAAAAGCAGAAAAGGAGGTGTGCGGAATTTCCACTATTAACTGTGTTTGGAATATGACGAAATCACTTATTTAGAGAGCGTGACGTCTTCATTTCAACTGTCGTCAGTTCAACTGTTTCGTGGCTAACCTTGCTCGGTCGCCTGAATTACCCATTTTGACAGCCTGACTTAGTAAATAACTTGAAAGTATAAGTAGTTCAGAAGAAGTTGTCGCTGAAATAAGAACTTTATTGGTCTGACGCTTCCTACAACGGTTGAAGTGGCTGGTTTCCGACACCACAGGCAAAATTCTGGGCTCGGCATGCGGACAATACCGTTATCGTCGTCGAACGGGATTAAGTGCTAGTATTCAGAGAACATCTCAACAGCGTCTCTCCGGACATACGATTTACGATGAAGAAGAAAAACAACCAACTATTCTTACTTGACATGCTCCTTTTCCGTAAAGGCTGGGGGTGGCCTAAAAACCTAACTGTTCAGGCAAGCGACTAATACGACACAAGTACTGAGCTTCAATGGCAACCACCCAATCAACCACACAAGCATTTACGCAAGGACGTTATACCGGCGCGTAGAGAAGCACTGAAGTGAACCAGAGGTCAAGCTTGCTGAATTACAGCATCTTCAATGGGCGCTTGGAGTTTATAGTTATCCGCGCAATTACGTCAGTCGGTGCGTGCGTAAGCGCGATGAAAAACAAAAACCAGGCAGCTCCAAATTTGGCGAGCACTCCAGTACGTGATAAACGTCCCGGAAAGAAAATTAGCTCGTCGCTTTTCGCCTCCTTCATCATAAACTGTATTTCCAGGAAACGGCGTTGAGATGTTCTTTGAGTGTCAGGCATTTATTCCCTTCGATGACGATGAAGGATTCATTCACATACGGAGGTCATAATTTCGGTCTGTGGCGTCGATCCCAAATTTTATGAGTGCTCCCGTGTGTGATGAACGTCTATTCAAGTGAAACCTAGTTGGACAGGGGAATAAACGCACCCCGGTAGTACAGGCGGCCTCGCGCCAAATTCCAGGGGATACCTATTATCGTGTGCTGATTTTTACCATGAACCCTGAAACTAACCCTAGCCTTCCTAACCCCACTACTTCCAACCCTACGCCCGACCCTCTTTTCCCAGCCGTGACACTAATCTCAACCCTAACCCAGAAATCTAGCGCAAGGACACCGGTAATACGCAGGGCCCGTTCCCCATGCCCTACCTGAGGAATTATTTCAAAGAGAAATACTTCCGATTCTCTAGCAGCAATCGTCAACGTGGGAAAATTTCTGACAAATAATGTCCTAGAAACTCAACTTCCAATTCTATATGCATCTTCCGTAGAGCTTAAGGAAGACAACGAAAAATCATCTAATTATTTACTTTTACAGAAGGGGGGATGGATATCCGATATGAGTTTATACTCCACAATCATACAGCTTTAGCTCTATCCAGGTTATTCGTTTTATTTGAAAGGATGTCCACAAGGAGCACAGTCATTGCAGTTAACTCATGAATTCCGTTAAAGTTTCTGTCTTACCTCATAGGGGATGCCAGGCACTCAGACGTTTCATCATCATGGCAGCGCCAGAGTTTGTGGGGACGTGGAAATCCGATTATCGGTCCACCAAAACATGTCATGGACTCATCATCCTACCTCCCACTAAGCATCGTGAAGGCCGGAGAACATAAGTCAACCCTGGACGATTTACTGCCGTGAAGGCAGGCGTAGCCAACCGCAGAGAAATGGGTCATCGTCATCGACTGCCAGCTCAACAGGTAACTGCTCAACGCATGATGCATGGTAGCTCAAGAGTATCGCAGGCCAGCTTCCACGATCTACTGAGGGCAGATGATTGTGTGCTTAACAGAACGGCGGAAGCGGTTATGAAAATGAGCACTGACGTCATCGCCTTCGACTGTCTCGACTTAGGACTGATCATAAACACGCAGATGACGATGATTATGCACCAACCGGCGCCAAACATAGACCAAAGACAAACCCATGACTATGTCAGCGAAGCTAGACTAACAATAGTGGACAAATTCGCGTACCTAGGAAGTATAACTTCACGGAATATCAAGATCGACCCGGATTTCCAAAGCTAGTCAAGCCATCAGCCAGCTACGGGCCTCACGCTGTAATCGCCGCGACCTTCGCCTAAACGGAAAAGTCGAGATATACAGGACGACAGTCCTGATGACATTGTTCTACGGGAGGACATATGAACCGTATGCGGTACCTCCGGAGAATAGAAAGCTGAGGTGGAAGAACATGATTCCGGACACCGAGGTCTTGGAACGGACCGGAGACATCAGTTTTTATATGATGCTAAAAAGGGCAACTGCGATGAGGCGGCCAACCCGCGAGCATAAATGAGGAGCGCCCACCTAAGTTGTTCATCTACGGTCTTAACAGGCGTTTGCAGAATGAAAGGCAAAAACAACGCCACAAAGACACCCAGAGCACCACCGTCAACAATTTACAAATTAATTCGGCAACCCAAGAGGACCTTTTCCAGGACTGACCGACCTGAAAAGAGATGCGAAGACTTAGGCAGCCATCTACGAAGCCAACGGGATTGCTGTTGTCAAAACCAAGAAAGCGACTCGCAAATCTCACGCGCCGCGCACCTATAACCCGAACGTTCGAACCCTTCCGTCGTGTACCCGTTGTCAGCTGACAGTCCGCGCACCGATCAGCCACATCGGACCCAGTGCAATAACAACTCGACAACTCCACCTCCGCAAATAACCCCATTATCACCCCCTGCCGACAGCGGCCACCACTACCGTGAGCACACTCGCACTACCCCTGTCGCCGCCGTCCTACCTCAATTGCACCACCTGTGAGAACATTTCGACGCCCTGCCACCTACTAATACTACTACTGCTACCACTACTACGGCTACCACCACCACCGCACCGTCATCATCATCATCATCATCATCATCATCATCATCATCATCATCATCATCATCATCATCATCATCATCATCATCATCATCATCATCATCATCATCATCATCATCATCATCATCATCATCATCATCATCATCATCATCATCATCATCATCATCATCATCAGCAGCAGCAGCAGCAGCAGCAGCAGCAGCAGCAGCAGCAGCAACGTCATTACCATCATCATCGGACTCGATCCCAACCTACACCTTTTTCGACCCCACCTCCACATCAAGCGTTGGCCTGTTCGTTCACTTGCAACTCAATCGCATTGAGACCGATTAATCACTGCTTGAAGCCCCGACATAAACCCGTCTCTCGTATCTGCCGTCTACAGTGTTCCAGGACATTCAGGCATCGCATGGGTCTTTTCGGCCGCATGCGCATCCACAACAGCGAAACTAATCGAAGTGCCGACAAGCCAAACGCACATCGCACATCCGACAATTGCCAAAACACTAGCACAACGACCCCTTAGCCACCAGCGTCGCCATTACTACCAGTATCACTACTGCCATTGACCTAGCAGCTACGAACCTCTCCTGCCCATACCAGCTCTGCACGTTTACATTACACATCCCTTTATTCGGTCACTTGCGAATCCACCAAACTAAACCAGTTTTAGGAGCATCAACACACACCTGTCGCATCCGCCTCAACCGCCCATATTGCTGACGGACACTCGGTCACCACACGGAAGTCCTCAGCCATGAGCGACTACATGAAAGTCTGCGGCAAAAACATCGCAGTCCCAATCCCGTAACCACACCAGACTACATGCGAATCCGCCACACAACACCCAACATAGGAACAGAGCATGCAGCTCTCAAGTCGCTGGGAGGCATGCTCCTAGGTTCAAACCACAGCCTGACCAGGTGGTATGGGACACATGCAAACTGGCCGTTGCAGCTTTGTCAGCAACTGCGTCCAGTCCAGGCATCAAATGCCTTGACAGGCTTGGACAATAGACTGGCACAAGGGAAAGGGAACAGGGAGTATGTTCGGCGATAGGGAACTCATCCCTGCAGCACATCAGCGCATTTCCTTCTATAACAATTCCGGCGCGTTCTGAAACTATCACGATGCGTGGCTTGGAAGACTGCCAGTTCACGGGATATCTCGGTCTTCATGGTCAGTACTGTGTGTGTATATGTGGACTAACTGGATCGAGGACTGAGACTCAAGTTCGACGACTCCTTATAAACGTTCCCTCCCATAGCACTGTCACGCACGTGGGATCCGAGCTGTTACCCTGTTTAGTGAAAACTTGCTACGCAACTGAAGGACCAGGTTGTGTGCAGGACGCGCTAACGGCCCAGTTAGCATAGTCAGTCACTGTGTCTGAGCCTGACTGCGGTTGTTCTGACTCCATCTTGCCACTGGGTCCGGGTGGGTGAGGGGCGAGGGAATGCGGCAGATGCTGCGTGAGTCGGAAACCCCTATGGACTAATTCATGCATAAGTCACCGTCCCGCGCTCACCATATTGTGGGCTACACGGCGGAAGTCGTCACATGCGACGGTCGAACTGCCAGATTTGTGAGCAGTTCTGACATGTACGTACAACAGTTTGAAAGTGATCTGCGTTTCACTTAAAGAGGTTCCAGCCCAGGGGAGGTGGATTCGGAAGAGCCCAAGACGGACCTGCGTGCTGGCGCATGCTCCCGCCTGAGGACTGGGGTAAACTGGAATGAAGTGAACCGTAAGTCAGTCCGACAGGCCGCCAGCCGTTTATTTTTAGCTCAACTGATTAATAACACCAAACGTTTTTGCAGTACAGACGGCGTGAGTATGCTACCGCGTAAAGCTAACAGTAAAAATAATTGTGTGGGCAAATTACTTCGAGCGATTTGTTCTCGGCGGACTCGGCCACTTGCTGAACTCCTATTCGCTGACACCGCCGTTCATCCACCCACTCCAGTTAAGATGGCTGGGCCAACCGCCGTGATGAATGACAGCTTGAAAACTACTCGTCCGCAAATTGAAGAACCTGCTGGAGAGGCTTAAAATCGAAGTTAGGTACCCAAATAACGCCTATATTTTGACAACGTTATTAATCCCAACTGAACATTTCCCGCCAAAAACTGGTTTAGCATTTATGCTAGATTTTCTTTGATCCGAAGGAGAACCGAGGCGTCATGTTAACTTTTTGAGAAAAAAACAACTAAAATCGCAAATCAAAGGTCGATTGCCTAGAAGTGGCGAAGCCAGAGAAGGTCAAAGACGTCCCTCTAGTCTTACTTGCAATAGACCAGAAAAGTGAAAACCAAATACTGACTGATAATTGGAAACCATAGATAATCAGTTTGAACTGTTCGAAGTCTTAACCCTAGTATTATCGGCAGGAGATCTGCGCATGCCTAAAACCTGTTCTTCTCCGTATACTACTCAGCCTTGGATGCAACCTACTCAGATCAATAGGGTATTTAATTTTGACATGAAAACTAAAATATGCGTTAAGCCGCGTGAAATTATAATTTTTACCTTTGGGAATGACCTCAGATTAAAAAAGATAACTCCAGGGAGAATCACAACGGAACAAGCATATCCCGCAACATCTATCACATATACATATGGGAAGAAAAAGCGATCTCGGGAACAATGGTTTTACTGTCCTGACATTTCGAATGCAAGCAAGCCTCCATCGTTGGAGGTGAGTGTGATATCGCGCCTAACAGTATTTGTAAGTGGGTGACAGTCATGCTAAGACGGGTTTTACGTATGCAGTCAGGGTGGCAAGGAGGACTCCGGTCCGTGGGCGATGCCAATCTTCAGCGGTCCTAAGAGACGTAAATGAGATGATGGCGACAAAGAAAAGGACACCGGAATGGCCATTTCTGGCATATTCGCTGTCATCAGCCAGTCATACCCAACCCCAAGTGTGGATCACTTGTGATTCGATCCCGGGATCGTTAGACATGGAGTTTGACACTCTACCATTGAGCCACGGGACCGTTGCCCTGTTGGTTGTGATATACCCGATCTTAAGAGACGGGAGTCAACAATTCGACATATGGCCCCTCTGCCACGAGATGAAATCACTAACATCATCTACCGGATTCAGTGTAACTCCTGGAAAGTTAACTACATTACGGAGACCGGCAAACAATTACATACTCGTGTTGGAGACCACATGAGGACGGCAAAGAGGATGGACCCTTCGTCTCTGATGGCAGAACGCCGCGCCGATTCCGGACACACGTTCACACTCCAGCATGCCGAAATTCCTGGCCGAGGAAACGACCGCATAGCCAGGGAAACAATCAAATCCTGGCACACGGGAGAACCTCCATCGAACGTTGTGCGGCTCTTCTCGTTGCCTACCAAATCCTTCGGGCGCAGCTCAGTGAACGAATGAGCAAACGCGAACTCAGACTAAACACGAATTCAAACATGAGCGAGTCCATGGCGGTTACACACTCAGCCACCCCTCAACCTGGTTCCGACGAAGGCGTAGTCCTCACCACAGCCTGTCCATCGACTATTCCGGCGGACGAGAAAACGGACAGTCGTTGCGGCGTAAACAAGATTGTCAGCCTTGGATGACAGTTAAGATCAATGAAGGTAAGAACGACGGCCGCCAACGTCTCAATGCCGGTCCCCGATGTAGATTGAGTACATTCCGTCACCCCCTTTCCCTCCTCCCCGCCCGCCACAGTCCTTGTGTGCATGCGGCTGGTGATCATTAAAGCTGATCCATCATCCCCTCATCCGGCGACAAGATGCTTGAGGCTGCCTCCCCCTCCCTTCCTCCCTGTCGCCCTGATTGCGTACGTAAAACCCGACTTAAAATGACTGTCACCCACCTATAAATACTATGAGGCGCGATATCACACTCAGCTCAGATGATGGAGGCTTGTTTGCATTTGAAACGTCAGGGCGGTAAAACTATGGTTTCCGAGATCGCCTTTTCTTCTGATTTATGTCCAGGGATGCGTATGTTTGCTTCTATGAACATATATATATATATTGGTAGAGGGGGCGATCACCAACTGCGTTAGGGTACATACCGGTCCCGTCATCCCCTATGACCTAATCAGTAGGTCCTAAAGAAGCCGTGGCGTGGCTGGTGATACAGACAAAATAACATTTATGACAAAGACAAGGGAGACTGGAATGGCCATTTCTGGCTTACTAATCGTCAATAGCCAGTCATATCTAATCGCAGGCTTTTGCAACCTCTGGGGTCCGAACTCGCATTTTGTTGGTTAGGAGTCAAACGCTCGTTATTCCGTCGGTTGTGATCGGACTGGGGCATTGGACTTCTAACAAGCGGAATGCAGGTGCAGGCCTTAGGAGTCGCTTAAACCTGGGACTACGTATGTCCAGCTAATGACGGCGAGTAAGCCAGAAACACCTGTTTTAGTCTCCCATGTCTTTGCCGAAAATTTCAGTCTGCGCAGGCACATACATATATGAAGTGGACGATGTGCATTCCAAGAAATATAATTTGCAGTCAAATGCAGGATGCGCATATCCCGTGGCCTGATCTGTGAACTCAATTCCAAGATATATGTATGAAAAAAGAACGGGTTCTTCAGAAAAAATATTTTTCCGAAAAACCTCTTTCTTTTTCATTATATCGTCTTGGAATGCCTACCACCTCTACACTGCATATATATGTATAAAACTGGTGGCAAAAATCAAGAAGAACCTGAGTCTAACTAGGAAACTAAAGGCAATATCTGAGAACGATTGGCGACAGATGAATCCACAAGATGCTGTCATAGCACACTTCTATCGACTGCCAAAGACCCACAAATCAAGCGTTCCTTTACGGCCAATTGTGGGGCTGAAAGGTACAACTACCTACGGTCTGGCTAAATGGCTTACCCAACATCTGAAAAAGCTGACTGTGGGCCTAGAACACAAAGCTGTATCCCCAACACACTTCCTGGAAAGACTCTGAGGCGTCAAAATAGCCTCCGATGAAATAATGGTCCCTTCGGCGTCGTCTGCCTTTTCACCCCCATCCCTAAAGAATTAGCCACGAAGGTCATAAGTGGCATACTGAAGAAGAGGTGCGATGAAGAGAATAGACCTCTGAGAAGGAAGCAGATAAGGGAGCTATCGGACTACTGTTTGAGCACGTACTTCACGTTTAATGGCCATGCGCACGAGCAAATCCGGGGAACCCCGATGGGATCACCAATCTCCGGCACCTAGCTTAGGCGCTTCTGCAAGAACTGGAAACACGGGCCTTTCAGTCCTACGTGCCAAAATTGTGGATGACACCTTTGTCATCCTACGTCGAGACGTAAAAGAGACCTTCAAAAGAAAGTTGAACTAAATTTTCTCCCAAATTAAATTCACAATGGCGAAAGAAAAGGACGGAGAAATCCCTTTTCTGGACGTCCAGGTGCCGAGACAGGACGGCGGTGCCCTCCAGACTGGTGTCTTTCGAAAGGCTACTGATACGGCGAAAATCCTCCATTACAACAGGAGGCAAGATAATCTATCCCAGGTGGCCATGCACACACTGGACATTGGACACCAGTTTGCATGGGAGAACACTTACATTGTTGGCGCCTGCCCAATAAAGAAAGGCCGCGAATTCCTGGAGGCAATGCACCCAGATGAGGCATGCATCGATCGGCATATCGATTTAGATGTCACATACACATTTCTCAAGGAAAAATGGAAGCAAACACAGCCAATGCCGAGGGGATGACGAAAAACCGTTGACGCACATTAACGCAGGCTTCGGCCAACCATAGAATCACTTGTACGACATGGTTAAATAGTTAACTGTGTTTGTACATCACCCAAAATTCTGACGACGGGTTGGGGAACCAGACTCAAAAATTTACGCATTAAAGGATATTATCTTCCCAAAGCATCTCACTTATTTTTAATTAAATTTCTCGGGATGCCCGTTTTCCAGTACATATCTGGATGAATTTGATTTAGAAAGAATATAAAATATCTAGACGGTAAATCTTGAGACCATGCTTATGCGCAATTCGCCCCAAAATATCCAGGAAACAATATTCCATGTTAACATGAACATCTACATTAAATTAAGATCTCTACCCAATTTTTAAATGTCCAGTTATTTATTAATCTTCCCAGACGTCATGGCACCTATCTGAGCTGAGCAAAAAAGAGCAGTCAGAAGCAAATAAGTGTAACGCCTCCCCTCTAGTGAGTAGATGCCTTTCTCCCACAATAATGTGGGAGCAAAGAGGAGACTTTGACAAAAGGTGCTTTAAATATAAAAGTTCAAAGAACTAATTTCGAGACGTCCGTCTCATGAGATTTGAACGTACCTCGGTTCGAGGATCTGGGTCTCCGTTCGATGTTGATCTTCAATACTCTGGTTTGACCGCTTCACTGAGTCAATGCCAGGTGGGACTTGAATGCTGTGTATACAAGTAAAATGGCCGGTGATAGCCTTATGAAATAATGAGTAGGATGCGAATCAACCAGACCGTCCGGCAAGTAAGCTAGACCAGCCTAAATTATGTCGATCTAGGTTGAGGATGTTGTTACATGCACATGAATTTGTGTGACCTTTAAATTCCAAAGGCCCCGTGAAGACGAACAGCATCGAGAACGGTGGCTTCGGTGACCTGGCTGCTCCTAACTCGTGTTTTCTGTCCTGATCTTTTATAAAAAGGAAAATGGCTGCTGGGGTGTTCGAAAGCGCAACGAAGCACACTTCTCATATTATAAACGTGTCCCGACTCATAGGTCTACCCCATCACATTGTCCGTCGATTCGGGAATTCGTTCACGGGCCAGTGTTCTAGTTAAATCATTCAGCCCAAAGGAGCTTTGTAGCCTTTATCTCTCAAAGCGGTGATGGAATAGCTGTCGTCACCTGGACGACCAGGATCTCCATTGGTTTTAGATTACCACACGCCGGCCACTATGTGCTCGATGAACACCACCACAGATATGAACCACTGCACACGGTACAATGTGTCATTTTTAAATCCTGTACTGCACACCTAAAGTATTCGCGGTGGGCAATGTCTGAGGTAATTGACACAAGACAGTTTCTTTGCATCCGATAATCTAGCCCACTAATGTGTTTTTACCGTGACAGTACATTCATTGAATTTAGAGTGGCTGCATCGAGGCGAAATGAGATCTGTTGGGTTTCTGACTTTACACATGAGTCCGACGGCCTACGACTGCATCGAAGGCACCTAATTCACTCCCAAGAATGTTGATCGAGAAAGTCCTAGCAGACTCAGTTCGCATTTGGTTATATGTGTTGTAAAAAATTAAACACTAATTTAGCCTCTATGTGTGGCTAACAGACTGACTGCTAACTGACAGGCTACACAGCACAGACAACGCGCGTCAACTTCATCCACAAGGAATTTAATTAGGCGAGATAAAGGAGGATTTGCCTGACGGGAGATAGTAGAAATTATCTTCATCCTCGTCTATGGCGTTCAACGCAACAATATATATGCCACGACACTAGATAAGCATGAAAATTTAGGTAACAGAATTCGCCAGTGCCGACTGCAGACTGCAGACAAAACATTGCCGTTTTGAGGTGAATAGTAAAATGGTCAATGGTGCACTTGTCAAGGGACAATCGGGGAGATCAATGCGTGAGTTTAATAACTTTGCCTACAAGATGTAATGGGAAGAAAGTACAATATTCTAGGCAGTCAGAAGACAGTTGATTCAAACAACCAGAAAAAGCTCTCTCAGAATCGCCTTTCCGTTCATTTTGTCTTGCAACAGCGCTTGAAGCAATGGTAAAATTTTGAAAAAAACGTCTCCTACAGCAAACTCCGGTAGTGTTTGACAACGAAGAACTTGATGAAGTCCACCTACTCGTTTACTGAAAGGCATACTTTATAATCTTGAGTTTGTTGAGCCCTCTGTTACTGTGAATTTGGCAATTAAAAGCTAAATATTCGATCGTATGTCAGAGTAAGGTATCCCATATGACAACTTAACATCCCAATGAATGACCATCGTTTATAATGCAGTGGTGGTGAAACAGGTCTTATCATAGCACTGACGGTTTAAATTTTGAAGATTTCGGGTTTTTGAATCATTTTTGAACAATTTTTAGTCCTTATCGCATGTTTAAGTACGCTTAGTTCTAGATGGCCTACATTTCAGCGACATAATCTCAAAAGCTGAACCTTAAGGAGGACAATTTAAAGGATCTTGACAAAGTTTAATTCGATGACCTCGTTGAATCTCTCATTGAAGAGCTCATCCACTTGGTCCTTTCCTAGAGGTCAGACCAGGACGTTTGTAAAAGCAGGCTTTTCAAAATGCGAGGTTTTTAGAATATCCATAAATTGTAATGTTTAATCAGAATGTGGGTAATTTGGTGGAAGTTGGGATTCGGGAGTAAGAATTTAAGAAGTAGTAATGTGAGACATTCGCCTTCTCAAGAAATATTCTATATAGATTGTGGCCTATTTCAGTAACCATACGCACTACCTATTATGAAGTTCTTGTGGATTAAAGACTGACCGTAAAACACCTTAATACTGATCGGAGATCCCTCAAACGTTCAAGATATGTAAAGCCTTTAAGCACTCTCACTTAACTCCTTGCCTCGGCTTTTTATGTTTTCTATTTCTTTTTCTGGCCATCGCACCCTTCAACCTATTTCTGGCCCATTTTGAGGGTATTTTACACTTAAATTAGTTAGATGCAAGTCTTGAAAAGTACAGTAGGTGTAGTGTGATATTTCACACGCGGTATATGAGACAGAGAACACTAGATGAGCCTTCTAGTTGCTGATGGGGTAAGGTAAACTATCAAATGAATTGAAGAATCGCCTGACACAAGTCACGAGTCCAACAACCTCCGAAGACGCAGCGGAGATCTGCGCGTGAATAGGAGGATGTAAGGGAAACCAGGACGGCAGTTCAAGCGCCCTCTTTCTGCAAACCCAAACAGCAGCAAGATAAAGTCGTGATGACTGAAGTTGTCTGTCGACGCAGAGGCTGTTGAAGCTGAACACACGTCTGAACGTGCTACACACGTGATGTTTCCCGAATGCATGCGTGGGGTTTTGAACATAGAGCTCTTATTTCCTCACCCCACTAACCCATGGGCACTTTCCCCTACTCTAATTAGAAAATTTGGTTGTTTTGACAACCGGATTTGGACTTTGTTACTTGTTTATTCGTGCTGCTCAACGTCAACGTCCACCGATTACTTCCCCACGTCCTTTAAGGAAGTGAAACTCCCCAGTCAGACATCCAATTAGATGAATAGTGAAATCTTTATTCCTTGCCTATGTGAAACAATAATGTCCAGACATTTTGCAGGTGAAAATTTTATCTGCTCCAATACAAAGACGTGCGCCTATCCTTTCCCTAACTAAAAAGTGTCTCGGGTCTTTTACTACAGAGAGATGGGAGACGCACGCCGATGATCAATCGATATTCAGACGATGGTGACTTAGTAGCCACATGCGACGAGTTTATAATGAAGTGGACTCGTGCTGCATCTAAATCACTTTACCTCTCCCGCACACCACGTGTTTCAGTTACAAGACAATTTTAACACCGTCGGGGAGGAAGCTAGGCACAGCACGTGACTTGATACAGGGACTACAAAAAGGCGTGACATTCAACATTTGGTCTACCTGTGTAAGCTATACAGTTTTCCTCAGCACATACAGTGCGTGATCGATTTTATGAAATGTTGGCCGAAATTCTGAAATGCGTTTTCGAGTAGGAAGGATCAATAAGGGGGCGTTATAATATTCATCATCATGTAGCATAACCCTACAGTGCTTCGGAATCGCCAAGATGTCAATATTTTAATGCACTCCTTTCTGACATTCTGCAGAAACCGTACTTGGCAAAAGATGACTACTTAAGCAGCATGCATCTTTCGCATTGATTTTCGATGGTCATATAAATTCAAATATATTTTCTAGAAAACATGGACAAAATATGTTTTCTTTTACCTATTTGGTAGAAAATCACATTTTATTTATATTTTTTAGCCTAAGGAAGGTTATCTTTCGGTTTTCAAAAGTATCCAATTATGAGATTCTTAAGTCCGTGTGGTGTCCATATATACAGCATAACACGTGTCAGTTTACCAATTTTCCACGTAAAGCGTACAAAAAAGTCCGTGTCTATTGCAAACTTTTATGAACTCTATACAGCATCCTATTATAAAAGTATAGAGTAATTTATGATTTTCCTTACACGGATCGCATGCAGCCTGTAGCCTGAAATCGCTAAAAACTAAAGTAAATGCTGATCAGGCTCAAAATTATTAGGGAATTGGGAAACTTTTTCAAAACCAAAACATACATTTTTTCGGGTACTAAATGTGAAGACAATGTGCTTTTCTACCATCTGGTAAAAGAAAACATATTTTTTGTTCACTTTGTACGCTTCAAGTGGAACATTGGTAAACTGACACGTGTTATGCTGTATATATGGACACCACACGGTCTTAAAAATCTCATAATTGGATATGTTTTTATAACCGCAAGATAACCTTCCTTAGGCTAAAAAATATAAATAAACTGGGATTTTCTATCAAACAGGTAAAGGAAACATATTTTTGTTCATGTTTTCCATAACATATATTTGAATTTATAAGACCATCGAAAATCGATGCGAAAAATGCATGGTGCTTAAGTAGTCATCTTTTGCCAAGTACGGTTTCTGCGGGAAGTCAGAAAGAGGTGCATTAAAATGCCGACCTCTTGGCAATTCCGAAACACTAAAGGATTACGCTACATGATGATGAATATTACAACGCCACCTTATTGATCCTTCCTAGTCGAAAACGCATTTCAGAATTTCGGCCAACATTTCATGAGATCGGTCACGTACTGTACATTGGTCCTGCACGCGTTGGTACGCTAGTCGAAGTGATTACTAAGGTGGATCGATATTCCCGTCACAGTTTAAAGTGACCAGTAATGAAAGCTGGAGGTTAGGCCGAACTAAACATTTTGTGCGACTACATCTGTTACTTACCTTAGTGACCGCATACAACGGACTTACATTTTCTCCTTGACAAAAATACACCGATATATACTTGCTAGATAGTTATCTGACCCTTGTATTTGTAGCCACAACTCAAAACGCACTTTTCAGTACTCTTTGATTAAAAAACTTTTGTTTATAACTGTAAAAAAACGAGGATTGCAAACTGACCAGGAACAAGAGCAGCAGCAGCACCAACAGAAACAGCAAGCCCTAGCCCTCGACTCAGTATCCAGGGAGAGGGTGCTGTCAGCCTTGAGCATCGGGGCGCCAGGGTTGTCGGTGAGGGAGATGACATTGGTGTCTGAGGAAGGTCGCACCTGCTTTACGAGGCCAATTCGGTCGGAAACATTACTGCGCCGGCTGGTAGAGACTTGTTGAGTCCCGGAGGTCACCGTTCCACTCCCGGTCCCACCGCTTTCGGTTGTGGCGCAACCACCGTCGTTGGTATTGGTGCTGCCACTGGCCGGAGGTGCCACGCTGTTTATCGAGTCCATCCGTCCTGGGGGGTTTTTGCCAGTGGTGGAAGCGAAACCACCGGTAGACACGTCACCGCCATTCACATTCAAGCTTTGGTGCCACTGGTAGTCGATGATCGTGTCAACCATTGGAGATGTCCCAACGTAAAAGGGATAGTTGGTTGTATTTATGTCGGAGTTGTTGGGCAGAAAACCGTTGCGGTTGTTCACGATAGTGGCCGTGCTGCTGCTGTTGGCAGCTGTATCGATGAAGTTCTCCGGAACGAAGAAGTCCGCAACGAGGTCGTTGTTGGCAGTGGGATGCGGGAAGAAGATTGTCGACTTTGGGTCCACGCTTAGGGCCGGCACCGGCGGAGGTTGAGTCGTTACGGTGATTGATTTGTCGCGAGGGCGCTGCTTCGAGAAAAAGCCCGCAGAAGACCTGGTTAATTGTTGGTTCTGACACAATTCTGGATATTGATAGCTGGTATTGTTGTTGTTGTTGTTGAATGGAATCATGGAGAAGCTGTTGGAGCTGACTGCCGACTGACTGCAGTTTGAAGCTACTTCAGTGAAGGAGGGTAGAACAGTGAAGTTGTTTTCAGTCCACAGGTCCCGATGGGCAGCTCCAGGTTTGGTAATGGAGAGGTTGTTGAAAGACATCGTCGTATATCCCAAGTCTTTGATATTCCTACAATACGATCGAAAAATTAGGACAATTAACACTCATTCGATCTCATAAGTTCTACGTGCACATTTTAAATTTGATTGAGCAATATAACAACTTCGATAGGTCTGCCCTTTCCTTGAGTCTAGAACGAACGCCAACTACGCAAAATTGAGTGCAAAAACGCTTCGCCAAGACAGCAAACACAAGGAGGTCGACAGGCTCAAACATTAAAGAGTCTAGAAAAGCGATAGAGTGACCCGGAAACGTTCATCGAGTGACGCTGCCGACATCTGACCGCTTTTGGACTTCGCTCATGTTTCCAGCCGTCTGAGCCAAAGTTATACTTGATGTTTTCATAGGACACAGAAAATCAGTAGAGCGATGCACAGATCTTTGCCAAATCTCTACCTCAGGAGAACGTTAGTGCGTTATGTGGATGTCAAATAATACACCTTAAATTCAGACTTATGAGTGGTTAACAGTACAAAGCACGGTACCAAAAATTCTTTCATAGTCTTTCTACGGTGGCGCTAGACGGTAACTGTTCCGTCGACGTGTCCAAACACGTCTACCGTTTACCCCACAATAGGGTGAAGCACGCACGGTGACCTGCGCGTGAATTATTTTACAATGAGAGTAGATTTACGCAGCATCCACTGCCCTCCCTCCTCCTCCTGCCCTCTCTCCCAGAATCCGGTATCAAGACATAGTCAAGAAGACCGGAGACGGGAAAGGGCGCAGGTGGCTGGCACGGTCGGATTCAGACATAGGTCTACTACCACACCACCCTGTCCACAACAGGGGCTTGACCAGGATTTTATCCAGCAACAAAAATGGACCAGAGGGAGTCGAGAGGCATACTCATCACTTACGTGAGAGGTGCCAATTGTGTGCTGATGAGTGATGTTGGTGTGCGTTGCAGATGCTCGTGAGGAGAGATGAGGTAGTGTGCTGTGACCGGTAATGATTTGCCGCATGTTTGTATTAATGTGTATGTGGCCTAATATAGGGTCAATTGGTGGTTGAATATTCGGGGGCAGTACAGACTGGTGAGACGAGTACACCTGGTGTAGGTTGGTGCTCCAGACACTCTTTCTCCATCCTCTGCGCTATGATACTAAATAACCATCCAGTGAGAGTTTTCATCGATTTTCTGTGAGTAGGGCTGGGTAATCGTCGAAACCCAGTACGAAACATTTGGAGACTTTACAATTGTGGCATGCGGTGAAGCACGTTTCCGGTCTTTTGGACAGTACCGGTTTTGCGCGCAACCCTAGAATACCGCTAATTTGACAGATTCAAAATGCGTTTCTCACTGAAATCGGAAGCCTTCGACCGAGGTCCTTGTATATGAATTAGGCTGACCTTAACAAGCTGGCCTGCAGCTACCTAATCCCATGATTGTTTAAAATCTCCGAACAAAACTACACGTTTCGTTAAGCGGTTGTTTCACTGAGTCCGATGATATTCGATATAGATACCTAACAGTCATATCTGGGGCCAACAGTTTTGTCTTGAAAATGACACTCCACGTTCACTAAATAAGTTCTGAAAAATCTATAAAGTTGCGTTTACTAACAGTAATATCATGACATGAAGGAATTTGCGAAGTCTCCTTGAAACCCTTGGATTTGCTTCATGCAGCCACGGAAAATAATTGTGGCACACTGACGAGCAGCGAAGTAAAAAAATCACTGAGTATTATAATCAAACCGACTAATACTGCCAACCCAAATGACATTAATCAGGTCCGTAAACCTTGGTGATACTATTTCAAGTGAAACTAGACACGTAGAATTGCTAAAATCCACAAAATTCGCAGCATGTGTTCATTTGAGACCTCCTGGCAAGCTGACATAAAATTAACGACTGACATGAAATGAAATCCATAGGTTTACTCCTGAGAATAACTGCAACCAGTTCACTACAGGCAACTGAAAGAGCTGCGCAATCAGCCGCTTTCTTAACGGTAAGAATGGTAATTCCAGGAACAAGAAAACGGGTCAATGCTCTCTATTTCACTTAAGAAAATTGCAGGACAACCGAAATTAGATTGAAACATGGATCGAGGCGCATTCACAGCAAGCAAATCGCATGTGAAGAAATTCAGCTTTTGGATGTCGTCGGACCCATGTAACAGCTAAAGCGAAAGAACATTGACAAAAGCGCGGGATGAAATGACCGCCAGCTCTTCAGACCGGTGCTTTTAGAATTTATCACAAATCAAACGGGCTGATATCAAGATTCATCAGGACCTGATAAAACCCATCCTGTTTATGAAAGCGGGTAATTTTAAACCTCCTGAAACTGATAAGGAGACTCAAGCGCTAGAATAACTGTAGATAGAACCCGCTTATTATGAAGTATCTGATTAAACATGGGGATAAGTACCCCCATATTATAGTCGACCTTATGCCAACCTACAGAGAGGTTAGGGTTAGGACTAGGACACGAGGAGATAGGTACATCCACTGGAATTTAACACGAGGGTGCCTGCAATACGGGTCTACATACTCCCCTGTCCAACTAAATATCTAGTTAAATAAATCGTCTTCTATCTCAGAAAAGTAAAAATCCAGGGGCGTGCATTCAGCCCATAGCCAGTCAAAGTGAGATAATATACAGTAGCAGAATACGTTGCTCACCGAAGATTGGGATCGGAATGTCCGCAGTGAGCACTTGCGCTAGTCCAGTCGGACGACAGGAGGTCATTTGCAGACAAATCACAAATTAGTTCGGAGGAGGAGGAGGCCGTGCTGGATGGGGGCTGAGGACGGTCATACAGGAGTCTCTGTTGCGTCACCTTCTGAGCCACCGTCGCGACCAGCGGCGGCTGCTGGGTGCTTGAGGTAGACACGGAAGATCTTCCGGCCGTGTATGCGGAGGTTAATGGAGAGGCTGTGGTGGGGACAGCAGCATTGCTTCCTGTCACCGCGTGTCCCGAGGTGGAGACAGCGGACTGACCAGCCTCCGGTGACCGGTGGATGGTTTCCCAATAGAAGCTGTCATCATAAATACCCTGGGATATAACTTTTGCAGTCGGTTCGTCGGCAGTGCGGTGAATGAAAACTAGGGGACCGCTTGACATCTGGCGATGGCAAACAAGCAGATAAGGGACAATAAGTACGTGGACAGCCGGGGATTTGTTTATGTTTGGAAGCAGATTTCCCCTCGGGGACTGGCTTGATGACGGAATTTAAGCCACACATTGGGTTTGACATGACAGCGCTAACTACACTGGGAACAAGGACACTCGTGCATGTGTGGCATGCGAGATAATGGCATTAAAATCGCTGACCGGCACATACGTCAGGGTTAATTTCTATCAGATCTGACTCAGTCTTGTCTGGGGAAACTAGGAAGTTATCACGGTTCCGCACGAGGTTGTCAGCCAAACAGATACGATAGCATAGTGCAATAAGGTGGATTCACGTCTCTCGAGGGACCTGGATTTACGAAATATAGGAGACGGAGGTTAATGCGTGGGCATTCATTGCATACAGGCTTGCCTCCATTCGTTTTGACTTACTCCTGCCTTTGAAGTGTGGCGAGTGTGCGAATAACCGGTGAGGTTTTTTCTGTGCAAGTACTCAGCACTGTAGTGCACGTTAAGTGTAAATCCTCGATCACGAAGGACAATCTTTTATTTACTTTAGTGGAATGTTAAGATTGTCAAACAATAAGGATCTCACTGAGTTCATACCACAACACGCGAAGACATAAATATCCTAATGGATGGTTACGAGGTGAAACGTTGGTATGATTGCAAAAGCTGGCTAGGCTATGGTTACAGGGAAAATAACCACTCTAGTGATATTTACGAAAATCCTCCACTTATGGGATTTAAACGAAGAGAACGGCTACTTAAAGAAGGAACATGAATAAATCACAGTTTCCAATACACACTTTCCCTGTTTTTTTTTTCATACAAGAATAAAATGGGCAGTATTTAATCCCTCTGAACATAAAATATCTTACTTTCAAAGACTGTCAAAATGTGCGCAAAATATTCTATAATTATAACGACCTTCGTCAATAGTTTGTACGCAGATTTATCCCCGATGCAAAATATGCCAATCGAAAATGTATTTTAGAGAAAATGTATTATTTATCTGATAGTCCGGTATCTAAACATGGCAGAAGTATTTTGCCCGCGATGTAGACGACATCCCTGGGGGATAATTGCAAATGTTTTTTTATCGGGTTCCTCTTTCTAAAGCGGTGCAGAAATACAGGCGAAACATCATATATACGCGATTTGTGCATGGGTTTAATTAACAAGAGAATGTGCAGTACATGTGCTTTTTATAGTTATGTTTTTATCAGGCAAATGCGATTATATGGTTGAGTGCTAACGGAGTCAATGGTTAATGCGAAGCCAAATGAACTAAAGAGAAAGTAACCAATGGGCTGATTGGATGATTGTAAAAAATCAGCTTGTCCTCGGCTGCATGTAGGAGCGTGGTTTAGACTTTTGAAAGAAAAATACAATACGAAATGTTTGCGATCGACCAGATAGTTAGGTTCGGGTAATTCTAATAACAGCGATAGACGTACAGCTGTCGCCCTGGCCATCTTCGGCTACACAAAGCCAAAAATTAAAATCCATGGCCTTGCTTGAAAAATATGTTGACAGAATAGATTCTAATCTATTCTTAGGTCGCTAAAGCTTAAGTCGGGGATCAGTTAAGTTGAAGTTTGACCTCATCGTCGCTTACGATCACTTTCTTGCTGCACTAAACCGGATTCACTTATGGAAAGAACATAGAGTAAAGCATTTCCGGCACAGGCGCTTTTACACTTTTTTAATAGTACTGAAGGCGATCTGTCGCACATCAAGAAAGTACGGCGTGCGCATGAACGTACACAGCTGGCCGTTAGGAATATAAAAAAATGAATAATTGAAGTAAATCATGCCTGCGACCAAAAGTGAAGCCTGCATCATAACCGGAAAAGGTCTGTACCGGGCGTAAGCGCATATGCTACATCTAGGCATGTTCCAGAAACTCTCTTCAGGTCTTCAAGGGCAATTAAGCATTAATTTTGGCTGCAGCCGGGTGAACTACATTACCAGCAAATAAAACAGCCATAATGAATAATTAGAGACGGACTGGTTATGCGGCATCAGAACGCTCGGCAGCACATTTAGAAAACCACCATATAAAGTTAGCGGCATTAAGCTGCATGTTCATCTGATCATCCGCCAACGGAGTACAATCATTTGCATCACTTGGAACAAAATAACCTGCAGAGGATCAGTTCAAAAATTTTACGAAATCGGAATATTCCTTCTAGACTGCACTCGAGAGGTCATTGAAGCTAGCAGAACGTTTCTTAAATCAAACTGTTTTGTTAACTGCTATTTTTACTCTAACCTACAAAACCCGAGATCCCATAACCAACTGCCTAACACGTTCTTCGTTTGGACCGGGATGGGGATTACTGAAAATTCAGGATACGTTTTTCTTACGAATCACTGTACAGATACCGCCCGTCACAATGTGCAGAGGAGTGCCATGGTGCTATCTATTGCATTCTGCTCGTGAATTTATCTGGACTAGAGATGCACAATTTTCGTGTGGATAAAATAACTAGCCAGCATTTACGATAGCCTGTAGAAGCTGCGACTACATTGCTTTTTTATAGAGTATTTCCTCTGCTCACACCGTATTATCAAACCATTTAAAAACGATGATCATCCCAAAAAATTCCATTGTGGCGTATAAACCCCCCCCCCCCCGAACTGTAATGATTTTTGTTCAATGTATTTACTTTGTTAGATGTAGCAATTCACAGCATTCTATTAAGCTGTGGTCGTTTCCGCGTGGTTAAATTTTCGGAAACCTCTACTTTCCAACTTGTTCCATAAATTCCTTTTTCAACCAGCATACTTTACTCTAGGCAGATAATTTGAATAATTTTATTCGATTTATGCCATTTATCAGCGACTGAAACGTTTTAAGAGGCACAAATATTTCACATCAGGTAACTGAGAATTCTGTTTAATGTAAACCAGTTTCATATCTCTTCAATTACTTTAAGAATCAAACAGGCACAAACATCCTCACTGGCTGTTCTGAAGATAGATCTTTCAGCAGGAAATGTATCCTGTTTTTGATATCATAGGCAAATTTAAAAAACCAGACACGTGGAATTCTGGCGGGTTAGAACAGTATTCGAGCATCCAGGTACGCGAGTTTCACAGGCACCGGTGCTTGCGGTTTTAGGGAATATTACGACGAACCAGAGTGCCCACGACTTCCAACGAGGTATGCCAAAAGGGACTATATGTTAGCTGGAACCGGTAAATCGTGCAATACTAGCGTGCGCCGAAATACCCGAAGTGTCGACTGGAACCTTTAAGAAGGCTGTCAAATGGGAAACGTTCATGCAAGTGAACTAGTCATTCATGGGATTTAGAATGCTGGCCTCTGCTACCCCTGACAACCTCATGCAATAAGAGTACTTCTTAAGCACCGCGGGTTAACTTCGGCATCCGCTTGCTGGGGCAACAGTTGGCAGTGGTCAAATATTCAAACCCATGCTTTGACTACCATAACTGGCATACTTATTTGTCTTTGGAAGGCATACTATAATGCCGCTACTTTACCAGTTAAGACTAAGAGAATGAATAAAATTGGGTCAAGGTCAAGGTTAGGCTTCAAACTATGGTAAGAGTTTAATTGTCCTGCCACATACCGTCTTACCTAAGCTGGCCTTCTTTGACCAATAATTGTGGATTATATATTTTCCGCCCGTTTGCACGTCCTGTTTCGTATCTTTCAATTTGTGCAGTTTGTTCCGGCGTCTCGTTGGAGTATTACAATAAACATATGACAGAAATGCGAGTTTTCTCAATACCTCACTTATATTCCGTTAAGTGGTACGTCCGCCTGTCCCGCATTTCGGGGGTCCCTGTGTCCTATTTTCTCAGTGGGCTTACATATTCAGTCCTGACGAAACAGCTTAAAGGGGACCAATTTTGAAGGGAAGACACAGACGCTATTCGTACTCCGAATTCGAGTTGCTTATCAATTGTACCATTCGGCTGCTTAGGGACGCTGACTGCGGATGAGGCGCACGTTGCATTTGTGCAAAAGACCGTTGTCAAATATCTCACTGTTGAGTAATTATTCTCTGCGCTTGTGACAGGACACGCATTGTAGCGTCTTAGCCCAGCTGCGACTGCTATAAATCAAGGCCGGTTTCTTCTATGTCCACACAACTGAACGCCTCCCCCGTAGTGCGCACCGATGAACCGTCTTGCAAAGGTGCCTTTGCAGCCTTGATGCAGATGGAAAATGCGGTTTTAGATCACTAGCCCTATAGCAACTTAGTTCGCCTTGTATATAGTCAAGGCGCCATAGAAAGAATGGATTTAAGCTAACAATATGCTTTTCAAGGCGAAGCAAAAATCAACGTTAATCATTAGTGGCCATCGGATTTGACAGCCTGACCAAACTCTATAAACATATGTGTGACAGAATAGGACGAAAAACTGCGATCGTAAGGGTCGGTTGCCGTGGACAGCAGGTAATGGCCAAAACGAAGGCCACAAGAAAGGCAAGAATGAGATACAGGAAGCTTTAATTCTTCCTTGCTGTAAATTGATGGGTGTAACTGGTCAAAGCATGGTTAAAGCCAAATTCGAAGCCGTTGTATTAAAAGTCCAGGGCGGGTGGGCTTCAATGCTATGGTTGGTTGGCTGTACCAGTGCAAAAAGCGTGTGCGTCGAGAAAGATGATCCTGATTTGGCGGTTGTAGACCGTCAAAAGTAAACGAATCCACCCGAATTGCTTAAGAATTGTAATGCGGAGGACATAATGCTGATGAAACGCGTATGTGTGTGCGTGCCATACTTGAGTTAACAAACACATTACACTGTGGGCTGAAGACACATTGGAGCGCGCAACTGTTTTCGATTGCTCAGCCATATTCAGTAAAGAAAAACGCAAAATTGTTGGCTCTCGACGCGAGTGTTAGTTACCGACCCTTCAATTTGAGTTAGAATGTACATCTCACTTGGTGTCTATTATGCTAATGAGAATAAATGTATAACCTCTGCAATTTCTTATGAAAGAACTTGTGATTTTTAATCGGAGGCAAAACGGTACTGCTCTTGGAAAAAGTCGCTGTATCTTTTGCTTAGCCTACTTTAAAATACTGGGTTAGAATTATTTCCTCCAATTCGCACTACCGACACGGAAGCCATTTCATCGCGGAAGGTTGAATGAGCTGAAGAAAACCCAGTTACTTTCAGATAGCTTAGGAATGTCGCCGACAAAGACTAAAAAACTGGAAGGGCAACGCCAGAATTATTAGTTATCATTATTCAGATGCTCATTAGTTATTCAAATTAAACGCCTCTATCAGTCGAGCTAGCGGACTCACCTGCTGTTGGCTGAGACCGAATATACGCAAACCCATGTAAAAAGTTTATTCACTGATTTAAAGTAGATGTGACCTAGAGTCCACGTAGGCTGGCGCATGGCATAAATAATCAGGGATATTACCCACGTAGCCTGTCCCATGAATGCTGAGGATCATTAATTGCAACTCTATATATTCAGGTATCGGTTTTTCAGTAAATAGCCATTTTTTGGGTACGACACTGGAGTAGGAATCACTCCGTAAACCGAGTGATCTAGAGTCAAATTCCCAGGAGACTAGGGTTAAAGTCAAGGTTATGGTTACGATTTGGGTTAGGGTAGGGATAGGTACCCTTCCTGAAAATAGCCCGAGGTAACCTGTATTATGGGGTTCCCATTCCTGCATCATATGCATTTTTGACCAAGACTCTCGTGTTGTCCATCTGACATTAAGAGTTAGTGTGTCTTAAATCTTGCAAACACACTAGATAGTTATGGTGATCGTCTAATCTTACCGCGATGTCTTGGTGTAATCTGGTTCGACTAGTTGGAACGTGCTGTAAAACTCTCCATCATTTTACTCACATAATTATTTAACAATGAGGAATTGACAAAGGTGCATTTTGAAGGACCGTCTCCCGGAAATCGTGTTCATTTTAGATTTAAATTTTTAGACAGGAATTAGTGGGGGCTAACATTTTCAGCTGTGCGCATCTGACTTGAAACACCATCTGCGATTTATTGATATGGAAGAGTCCCGGCGGTTCGTCGTCCTTCACAGGTTGTAAGGTAGTTGTAAACAAGTAGATTGTACGTTAATCTGCTGAAATGATGCAGACGCACTCGACACCTAACTCACCCTCTTCCCATTTAGGAATTTCCGACGTCATGACAGAACGGATACGACCGCAGTTGGGCGCCGATGCACTGACTGATAACATTCAAGGCTCATTTGTACTTATCACACTTTCCGGCTCATAATTCACATAAAACAGTCACAATAAGGCGTTACGGATTCCATTAGAAAGCGTGACATAACATCCTCATTAGGGCGGAATCAGCGCAACTTGGCCAGCAGCCAGGAGAGGAACCGACTCAGCCCGTCAGTTGCTGACCTTCCAAGTCATGGCTCTTAAGCATTATTTAAAGGCAGGCTAGGATAGGCATGGTAATAAGGACCCGTATTACAAGCAGTCCTGCGATAAATTCCTGGGGTTAGCTTTGGGACTAGGCAGGTTAAGACTAGGGCTAGTGTTAAGAGGATTGGGGGGTTGGGGATTTGGGGATAAAATTAAAGCACGGGAATAGGTATCCCCTAGGATTTTGCGCAACACGAAGATACAATACGAAGATAACAACTATTTGCGAGTCCTACCGTAGGCCAGATTACAGTAAGTAATTTATCAGTTATACGACTCTTTGTTCAAACTCTCTTTTAGCACTCTCGCTCACCATGAATCAGGGACAAACCTTTGTCTTCCGGACTAGACGTGGGTATGCGGACAGTACTTACCGAGACTTAGAGCCACTGCTTAACGCGAATCACATACACATGCGACCGTCGGTTAGATCTAACGATCAGTCACAATCAATTTCAAAGGTATGGCGACTTCAGGTGACTCGATACATACACACAATTCGACCGTCGATTCCGACGACGTCCACCATGCGCTCCACAGTAGGGTGAAAGCGGAGGCGGTGACTTGCGCGTGAGTTAGTTTATGGTGAAAGTAGGATTTCGATGCATCCAGCGCACTCTCTCCTCCTCTTCCACCTGTATCCGGTGTCATGAGCAAGGCGGGAGAGGCCGTAAGTTGCTGGCACGACGTAAACCCGCGCTTATGTGTAACACCACACCCCCTGGTCCACAACAAACACTTGACCAGGAGTTTAAACAACATCAAACATGAGGGTGGCTCGGACCGCAGTGGCTGCGGCGTGAGTCCGCATATGCGCGTCCTACCACACCCCAAATGTTGGTATATGTTGTGTGAACATTTCCAATAATACCTGTCGGACTTCGGCCTACCCCCCATGTTGGTCCAGCTCATATACCGCGTCACGGTTTTTTTGAGGGGGGGATGACTTGATAGAGCACACTTTCACATACTTTTTTAATTTTACTCTGGAACAAATTATTGATATGTTACTTAGGCTTTAATTAATTATACTGCCGATAGAAGTGAAGTGGTGCGTTCTAGGAACCAGTTCAGAGGAAGATTCGTCGTTGGAAAAAGAGCTTTATTGGCCCGACTGCATCATCAGGGAAGGTCGCAGATAAGGATGCTGGAGGCACAAGGAGTGCAGTATTTATTGGGCTCAATGGCTGCGCAACCCGCATGTCTACTATAATTAACTGCTCTCGCAGTCATCGCTGTGGTGGTATTTGATGCGATGATTGCTTGCTGGTCCGCACCCGAGTCGTTAATTGCCGCATTTCAGTCACTGTTGTGGGCATTCGGCGTGACAATGACTCAAACATTTGGATCACTTGTATCGGCAATTTGGATCACTGTTACAGTAACCGTCGATCGCCCCCACTTCTTTCATGGCTAATTACTCTGCCTAGGCAAAGTCTCGGCATAAAATTTGGGGGCGGGAGATTATTATGCTTGTTGATCGACTATTGTCCGGAGAACCATGACTCAAGTAACCCGCAGCTCACGCGCTTATCCTCCTCCACGCGAGAATTGTTACCTCGTCGAACATGGAGGTGCGGCCGGGGCCCATAGAATGAACCGAGACTTGAGAGCTAGCGTCATTCCTCCTCACTGCTGCTGCATGTCCAGAGTAATCTCCCATGTTCTCCTACGTAGTTGCTTTATCAGCAACTGAAACGGACCCCGTCGTCACAGTGGGTATTTTGGTCTCATAACTTGGTACCGGATAGGTGCTTCCGGTCTGTGTGCATTTCCACCTCCAAGTAATGTGAGCAGACGGTTGACGGCCTGCGAGGCGTTTATCACGTGCAGGGGCGTTACCCCAAAGTTGGGGCCGGTTTGATTGGGTTTCCCGTCCCGTCTTGGGCTTGTACCCGTCGTGAGTGCTCATTCGTTCAAAGCACCTGTTGGAAATATGTTAATCCAGCAACCTTGTTTTCTGATCCATTTCAATGCTTTTCAATATGCCGGTAAGGCGTCCTTACGCAACTGCGTTTGTGGCTGATTGTGTGGTTGCATCGTATTTGTCGCACTTTGGTTTTCTTGTCACAACTGTCTTTGCAGCAGATGAAAACATCATGGAAGGCTAGCTGATTTTTGTCTTCCTCCTCCATCGTAAATCTTATGTCCGGGAAGACATTGAGATGTTTTATGAATGTCAGCACCTAATCCTGTCCGATGAGGAAGGTATCAATCACATGCTGAGTCCAGAATTTTGGCCTGTGGTTTCGAAAAGCCGCGACAACGACCAATGAAGGAAACACTAGACTAGTAATTCTTTTGCTCCAGCGATCGCATCCTCTTCTGAACTGTTAATACTATTAGGCCATTTGTTAAAGGACTGCCAAAATGGGTAATTCGGACGACCGAACAAGGTTAGCTGCAATACAGTTGAACAGGCGATCCCCGAGTTTGCGACTTATGTCAGGCCTGAGAACTGATCAATATCCCCTCTTGCCGAATATAAAGTGCAGGCCCTCCCTGGTCTGAGTTATAAAGAAAACGAGCCGTACAGTTATTATTATATGTTCTCCCTGCAGCCTGGTAAAAGGTCGTTTTTTAAATGACTTCCATAATCTTATTCGGAGCTTTTTTAACCTATAAAGCAAAACAGGCAAACATTCGCCCTTCGCGATCTTCCCGAGAGGACCCAGGTGACAGAAGAAATATTATAGAGTTATCGTTAACTGGCAGACCTCACAGATCGTCAGGGAGGCAATGTAAGGGCTAGCGATGCCGGCGACAAGAAACGTTACAGGTAACCCCGTACTCTTATCAACGCAGATAGGACACAGATCAGGCTTAACCAATGGGTTTTCGGTTCCATTTTTATTACTGGTTTACTGCATGCTTCTTTGCCACAACCATGTGTGTTTGCTAAATTCCTTTCCGTTTCTTCTCATACTAATTTAGTGCACTGTTAAATTCCTAACTTCAGGCTAAAGGAACTTTTGCCGACTGTTACTTTTTATTGACAGCAGTGAATGGGCTACCCAACTCAGTCCATGATTCCCAGTTAAAGTTGGACATGTTTGAGAAAGTTGACTTTGGGGGAATCGGCCCCGGCTAAAAATATTTCACCGCTTTTGCGCACCGTGGGAGTTTGCTATTTTTCTTTACCTGTTGTAAAGTGGCTTCTTCCTACAGACCGTTTTGGGACCGTTAGAAAGGACAAGTGAAAGTTTTTCATCTTTTATTTTCAGGCCTATACATATATCAAGGCATGACTATCTCGAGCGCTATCTTGATTTAATAAATTGACATTAGACAACGAGTGGTTACTGAGAAAGCCGAAAGCTAGCTAACTGATTGCAGCTCCCGTAACACTGCACACGCTCGACAGTGGAGACAGTTGCCGAAGAGCGCGAAAAACGTTCGTCCGAGCTATGTAATTGTCACAATCCAAATGTGAGCTGACTGCCTCGCCATGTGACACGGCGAACCTTTAAATAACGGTCCTGCAATATTTTTGTTGATGATATGGCCTTCTTCCCCTCCCCCCGTTCCTTCGTCGCCTTGCTTGTCTTATTGGCGCCTCCCTGCCCCTTCTACTCCTACTTTTCACTCAGCTTTAATCTCGCCTGTATTGCCGCTTTTACCGGCATTAATTATAGGCCCGCAACTCACGTGGAAGAACATTTAACGTAAAAAAATGTTCGACGACAGACTGATTAGGGGCGCCCTCTCTTGCAGTGTGGTTGGCCGCTGATGCGTATAGGCCAGAATTGGTTGTTATCATCATCCCTTGCCATTGCCGGGAGCTCCTCCAAAAGTGTGTTGTCCTAAAAGTCCTGCACTGGCGTAAAAGACTGAAAATAAACAATCCCACATGCAGGTTTACCTCGCCTAGTAAAAAGCGGAACACCAACTGCAGGCTTCACTGTCATTCTCACATGGGAATTTACAGTTATAATTCATACACCCCTCGTCGTCATCAGGGGATTTTGCAAAGTCATAGACGCAGGATTTGTTCGGTCGCCAAAATGGCTCATAAAATAGTAATCGGCGCGTTGTGCGAAATGCATAATATTTTACCCTAGTTAAATATTGGAATCGGCTCGGCAACAGCCATCAAAGCGTCCTCTTGCTCTAATTAATTCGGCCTATTTAAGGCAAAGTCCAAAAAGGAGTCGAAAATTTGATACTGCGAGCAGCGCTTTTTAAGTGCGCCTGAGTTCTCAATGTCAGGAAGCGATCCTGTTGGCTCAAATGTCACTGTTACTTCTGTGCGCCGTCTTGGAAGGTGAGGGGGGGGGGCGGGGGCGGAGGTGGTGGTGGGAGCTTTCGTTTTCGAGGAAATCCTCAGTTTTATGGCCCACCCACGCACGCGTGCAGCGTCGCCCACACGAAACTGCCGGTGTCTTGGGTGGACGGCAGAGGACAGGAGTTTGGGGAGGGGGTGATGAAAATCTGCCTACGCAAGTACAAATATGTTCCTTTGTGTCTAAGTACGTCACGTGGATGTTTCTAGGCTCATAGTTTGTGATGACTGCTACTTTTTCCTTCCGCGGGACGAGTGGTGTTGTGCAGCATGCGTTAAACCCTCCTCCAGCCAACTGCACCCGGTGTTTGCAAACAAGTGTCAGACGGCGGGATGTGCGCCGGTGGGCGGAATCTGCGCAGATAGGTTTTGTAACCGCGGCTCTAACGCGGACGAGTCGCAGAACAGCGTGCCCGTTTGAGTTAACAGTTAAAGTTGGCAACAAATGGCATAACGGTAGCTTTTGACTTTTGTCTGAAGGCGCCAGGAAGCGCACCTAATTTTTAAGTGAGTATTAGGGGTTAAAACATACTATGTACTTATGAAGATGTTTTAGAACTTTTCGGGAACTGATCGATATATAATTATTTCAGCCAGTTCGTATGCAGGACATTTTGTTTTTGCGTACTATGAAGACTTTAAGATGGCTAAAGCAACCGAAGATCTGTTCTAGAGTTGCGAAAATTTCCATTTAAAAACTCAGAAGACAATTTAACGAGCATACGGCTGTTTTCGATAAAATTAGGGCAGCCGTACCCGATCAACTGGACGAAGACGAGGGACAGCAATTTGAGAATTCTGTGCAGTTTATTGCGAAAAAACGTAGAGGAATTAAGATAGCTTCCTTCCTCCGAAGTGTCCACGAAAGCAGATTACAGTCAAAGATTCCGGAGGATCCAAGTCGTTACGCACACAGTTATTCATCTATATCTTTAGATAAAACTTCGATCGAAGCCTTACGTTTTGCTGTCACCGCCATAAGCCCTTTAACTGCAGTTTAAGGATTTCCTGAATCAAACACACTACCTTCAGCCAGAGAAAACAACGTCTTCAGACCTCGTTAGTCAACTGCTCTCATCAACACCCGAACAGTAGTGGGAAAGGTCGAGGCTTGATGACGAAGTCACGTATAAAGAAATGAAAGCGACTCTGGCAGAACAAAAATATTTTGAAAACTGGGCCAGATAAGGGAGCTAGTGCTGTTTAGATGGACAGGGTAGGTAACATGATGAAATACGGTTAATTCTGTCGAATCAGGGAACGTTCAGAAAGACAGAACAGAAGAAAAATCGTACAGATGAGGTTGAGGCACAACTGTTTGAAAAACGCCAAGCAGATGGTTTCATAGGCAAACAAGATGTTGAGCGTCTCCGACCCGTCAGCAGGCATATATCTCCGCTACACGGTTTTCCGAAGATTTGTAAGGATGGCACACCGGTTAGTTCAAACTTCGATATGAAAAACTCACTGTACCATGCAATTACAAATTAGCTAGCGAAGAAACTTAAGTCCCCGCTGCATCAGCTAGCGCCACATAGCTATCGGGATACCTATAATTTCGTTAACGGCGTGAAAGACCTCGACCTGAACTGAATGATAATGTTCTCGCTAGATGTACCTTTCTACGAACGTACAGGTCACGATAACCCTCAATCACCTCTGTGAATTTATTGCCTCCAATGAGCAGGATATATGAATGTCGGTGAATGTCCTCAAAGAATTTTACCTTGACCGAGCAGTTCTTATTTGACAACAATCTGCGTAGATGGAGGGAGAGAGCAGCTATAGGCTCGCCACATGGCCCACTTTTGGCTAATATATTCACGGGGAACGCAGGAGCTCTCTAACTCTGTCACCACACCAACGGTCTGAGATACTATTGGTGCTACGTGGATGCTATATTCGTAGTTGCACCAAGAGTAAATGACGTCTCACTTTTATTGGATGATATAAATCCGGTCTACCCATCGGCCAAATTCAAGCTGAAAGTACAGTCCGGTTCGCTTCCCATTCTCGACGTGCCTCTGTGAAAGTCTGCTGGTGGCATTTGACGTAGCGTCTGTCGCAATAAAACGTGATCCGGGAATACACCATTGTTCGGGGCTTTGTGCCGTTAAAATTGGAACGTAATTTAGTTCGCTGGTTAAGACAAATGGTTATAGGGATCTGCCCAGCTGATAGCATTGAGAGAAGTTAAGATTGCAGAAAGTCTCTCTCGCCATAATGGCTGCCCTGATCGATTCATTGCTAAAACATGGCCGAAAGACAACCAAAGTCCCCGATGCTAACGGCAGGATAGAAAAAGGTTTGTCATTAGAATCCCATTTCATGGGGGCACTGCGAGTGAATTTTTAGGAAGACGCCTTTACAGCAGCTGATACTCGTGTACTGTTCTCCACTAGCCCCATCCCCTATAGAGAGGGAAAGGTTAAACTACCAGCTCAGACCACCTCTATATGCATTTACTCCTTCACCTGCTCCTGTGGGGCAGAATATATTAGTCGTACGAGTCTGAGTTTGTCCAAAAGAATAAGGAAACATATTCCAGCATGGTTAGGAAAGGGTCAAGTAAAGAACCTTAAGAGCTATTCCCTCGCGCACATGGTAGACACAGACCACCGTGTGGACGTCAGAGAGGCCTTCAGAGTAATTTACAAGATTCCGTCAAGCTGTCCAAAACTACTTGGGCAGCGCGTGAATGCTACGGCAGATGCGGCTACAATCAGACTACGCGAATTATGCGCACAAAAGAACTTCATATAGGTCCGACAGTTGCCATAGTTCAAAGCCACCGGATATAGTTATCTTTCCCGGTGCTCACAATTCCCTTAACGATGAATAGAATTTTGGCGTTTCATTCCCTCCCCCTTTTCTTGACCGCATTTTTCGTTCATTATTTTAATGTCGATATTTATTAACTGTATCGTTATTCGGGCATCACAAAACGCTAAGAATAGATAAAGACTCTACACCAGACTCACGACTGCAAAGTATATTTACTGCGAAGTCAAATGTTAACTACCTTATGAGAAGCCAAAACCATTTCCTTGACATTGCTTAATCAAGACAAATGAGATTACTACGTTAAACATTTGGTGATTTGGTTGTGAAGCAAGAACTCTTTCCGGCAAAACGATTTTAGTCGCAATCGGAGTGGACGGTTCTGAACGCTGACACAGATATCCTCAGTCGGCCCTTGTGAATATAGAATCAGTGGTGACCGCGCCATCAGAAGCGGGTATTTCACCAAAAAACAGCAATTCGCTGCGTGCACTATGTCTAATCCCACAGATACCTTCTATCAACGTTTACTTCCAGATGACAGGCAAGGGGTGATTCTTAATGTGATTTTTAGGTGAGTATTTGGGAATACTGAAAACTTTACCACACGTCCACAAGCCTAAATTGACGCCTGCAAACTCAACATGTCACGGAGAGCATAGTTTCCCCGATTGCATGATTAGCTCCGTATCTTATCCAGGATTCCGTGTCGCAGCGTATTGGTCGTCTTCTCTTTTAGTCAGCCAGACTCGCCAAGTTAGGCGGCCACGACGACTAAAAAAATACTTCGCGCATTACCTCTGTTTATCTAAGTAATCATTTTTGAAAGTACAAGGGTCCATCAACACATTTCAGTTATGCATTGGTTGACGCTCAAACCGACTGCGATAGTTAGCACAGACTGAGCAGAAAGGACTGTATATTAATTTCAAACGTCAATAATACAGGCAGAGACCGATCCCATGAAATGTTAGCCGAAATCACGAATCGCATTTTTGATTAAGAAGGATTACATAGGTAGGGTCTTAATAGTGATTATCATGCGGACTAATTCTATAGCATTTTCGATTCGCCGGGGTATCGGCATTCGAATGTACTTCTTTCCAACCTCCTGCAAAAACTAAAGTCCGTAAAATTAGCTACTTAATTGGTATGCATTCTTACATTGATTTTCGATGGCCTTACAAATGCTAATCTATTTTGTAGAAAACACGCCCAAAAGTATGCCTTTTTGCTCATTTGATAGCAAGGCACGTCGTCTTTGCATTTTCTATTCGAAGAAAGGATATATTTAGATTTTTAAACAGTCTTCCAATACCCGAAAAATCCTTAGCAAGATCAGCTGTTGCACCAGCGTTTAGTGTTTCAGTCTACAAATTGCGTACTTTCCGCGTAGGAAGAGTCACATATTCCTCTGCGTCCTTAAGAAAATGATATGCAGTGTACGTTGCATACTTCATGACATATATCACGCTGTATGAACAAAAATTGCATGGTTTTAAAAATCCTATGTATAGAAACTACTTTAAAAACCGAAGGGTACTCTTTCTTCGAGTATACAATGCGAAAATTACGTTGTTTGCTATTAAATGGGTAAAAAGCATATTTTGTGCATGTTTGCTATAAAATATTTTTTGAATTTATATGGCTATCGAAAATAGATATGAAAATGCATACTGAGTAAGTAGCCATTTCTTGCCAAGTGCTGTATTTACTGGAGGTCGAAAAGAAGTGCATTTTAACACCAACAGCTCGGCAAGTCCAAAATTCTATAGAATTCGGCCGCATGATCATCACTGTTACAACCCCACCTATGTGATCCTAATGGGAAACGCGTTTCATCAGATCGGTCACTCGCTGTATTTCCCGAATTGTTCTGAAATGCTAACGGTGTCTTACATTGGACGCTAAGCAATGCGGTCTCATTTGCACTGCAAGTAGGCAAAAATGTAATTCCGTCACTTTTACTATGAGAAGGATGAGTGAGGAAAAGAAAGGACTTCTTACCACGAAGTGTTCCAAAATGATACGAAAAACTGCAGTATCCTTTGCTGGCACATTTCTCGTAGTCAGCCAGGGCGACGTAAAAAAAGAAACCCCTGGAGTGATGCAGCCTTATGAGCAAAACAGTCCAGTCCAAATTCCAGGTCACCTAATTTCATTTCGTCCTGCTGGCAAAACAATTATTTTACAAGCCTAAATGTTTGGATTTTGAAAACATCCAGTGGCTGGAATTGCCTGTTTTAAAAGAAACACCAATTGTCAGGGTGCCCGTCTGCTTTTCCAAACCCTCCTTAATGCACAGTAGCTCGAAAGGCATTTTTAACTACACGGATTTGTCTATGAAGGCAGAAACCTCTTCTTCAGCCTGACAGTTGGGCTTATCCTTGTGCATTGGACTGAAAGACCACAAATACTAGAAGTCCGGCACTTCATTTTTTCGTCACCTACACACTCTCGACGTCTTAATGTCTATATTACAAATCGGTCAGTAACTTACTGAGTCTCATGCATGCACGAAATTCTTAACTCGGATAAAAATAATCCACGCCGCTCTTTCTTAACTCCTAGGCATAGTCCATAATTGGGAACTCGCAGAAGCATGCATGCTTATAGGCTTGACGAGCAATCTGGCCGACAAATGAATAAATCGACCTGTCTGAGATGCAGATACTATTGGATAGATCTGATCAGACTCTGATGCGTAGGATGTAAAGAGACATTCTTTCGCCGGCAACATAGACATGCACTTTTCGCCGCACAGAAACCTGTCTGGGCAGCTTTTCAATTCATTATGGTACTAGATGGATTACGGCGAAAGCATACTTCAAGGATGAGTAGATGGTCAGTATGTAGGCGGAAGCCGTTTAATTTTCACGTGCACAAACAACACCTGACTACTCAGCACCCATTTGTTTAAGAAAAATTAAGGAGGTTTATGGGTATGCTAACTGGTTCATGAGCTTTTTCCGTGTCCTAAGATCCGGGTGACGAAGTGGGTCTCAACCGCTAAATTGCTGTAGTAAAGTAAAAAAATGATTTTTCGAACGTGCGCATTTTTCCGTGGTTTTTTTTATTAGTCTACAATTTTTACAGCACAGCGGTCGCATACTTCAGATATCTGACTCCCGCAGGTCACACCCCGCCTGCGAGGTCATCGAGCTGCAGATCGGACAGGTAGGACACCACGAATCTGCCCCAATCGATCCTGAAAAAGGCTTAATCCTGCTGCTGAAGTACTTTGTTTGACCTCACTCGCAGACTATCTGTGTATCATGTGCATGCGCCCCCTAAAATGGGCCGCACGGAAGTTGCGCTCACCCGAAACGGAGACCCGATCAGGGCGCGGCACGCGTCGTCGCACTTCGCACCCAAGATAAATGTCCTACACAGGGGTTGTGGTGGCTCGCCTGGATGCTGGGTTACGCCGCGCCAGTCACCTGCGCCCGACCCCCCTCAACGGTCCCCTTGATTCTGTCTTGACACCGGGTGCAGGTGAGTGGGTGAGGAGATAACGCGGTAGATCAAGCGCACGCTAACTATCACCATAAACTAATTCACACAAAAGTCACCGTCCCTTTGCCAGTCCTGCTGGACATGGTCGGAAACGGCAGTCGAACTGTCGTGATGTGCATGCATTCTTGGTTTTCTTATGAAAAGTGTTAGGTGGGAATGAGGAACGTCTAGAATATAAAACCATGGTCGTTGAGTTCAGTCCACCTACCCTGATCGTAGGATTAATCGTATCAGTTTCAAAGACAGTCGAGTCGTCACGAGAGTATCGTAGATGCTAAGGTACAACTAGCAAATTTGAACTGGTAAATATAGACAAACTGAGGCTTGGCAAAGGAAATATGAACTTAAACGCCTACGTCCTTCAGCTGGAAACAAACTCATTAAAGGTTTGGTTTTATCAGAAAACACTTAACAAATGCGGGAATTCATATGCCTGCGAACGGCAAAATCGATGGTTCTGGAAGATTGGCCGAAATCAAAGACCTGGACATATTGGGGTATGGAAAATTAACATCGGAGTAGACAACCATTTAGCGGAGAACACGATGAGCAATTAAAACTTTACACATCATGTCGGTAGTCGGCTTAGTTATCACATGAAAACGCATTTATATCCTGTGTGTCAACTCGTTTAAGACGTCATATTTTCTGTATTCTTTGTAGAGGTAATCCTAGAATCCCTAAAATAAGGTTCCCAAAGCGGTACACGAGAAGAGAAGAAGATTGTAATGCGGGTGACTTTAGCCAACTTCCAGTGAAGTTCGGGCAAGTTATAAGGTTAGGGTTACGGTTTAGGCAATGACAAAGTTTTTAGGCTAGAATTAAACCAACGGTAAGGTAAAGCAGGATCAAGATTAGGGCTAAAATAAGACCTAGTGTTAACTTTAGAGACAAGGCCTAGGGTAGGGTTAAAGCTAAGATGAAAGTAACGGTTTAGTTTTATATTGGGGCACGGGAATATTGTGCTCTTTCCGGAATGATGCGCAGGTTTAATGTCATTATTTGTGCGGGGCGTTCCAATTCTCGTATTCTGTTTGAGGAGCTATATATGTCATTCTTACCAGATTTACAATCATACATGAAAGATATGATTTATTTAAACTGAATACTGGCGGTCCCTACATGCGTAGATAGAATGCACCCCGGTCGGAAGTTCTGACTAAACGGTATGGTTGGGTGGCCTCTCCTGTCGGCAGGCATCGGAATTTAAATATTTCAGGGAATCATTTAATATAAGTGAATAATATACGGAACCGGAGGAAAAACGGTTTTTGGGGAGATATTGCATTTGCTTGCCAAAGCATGTCTCGTTTACTTTCAACGGTCAGAAGTCCACATTTGAAATTAATAATGCATGTCGGCATTATCCACGATCTGCATCCCGCATCAAAATCGCAGATAAAAAATTAGGGGACAGGGTGATTAGCTTATGACTGGGTATTGTTGTGAACGTTTTCGATCTTCCAATTTTGAATTTTTCAGCGGTTGGAACATAGTCCGGCCGAACTGCGGTAAGTCTTTGCTAAACGGTGGAATTGTAAATCTGTGTTAGCTTGTGATGTCCTTCAGTGCTGACCCCGTTTTGTAGACGTACTTGCTTAACTGTTGAAAATTGCTCTGGATAAATGGAGTAGAGGAGCCTCAGATCAAATCGCCAAGTTGATACTATACATTACTTTCAAGGTAAATAAGCTTTTTGATGTTTTTGAAACGTCATCGGCAGATCGTCTTTGTCCAGATCACTTCGCGTTTTTTACGCGACATCTATCTCATCCTAATTGTCGATTTCATCCATTACAGTCTCTATTTATAACCCATCCAAGTTTCTCTAGAGATCCAAACACAGGAAGTAGTAAAATGCTAGCTTGAGCGACGACCTGATATTTCCTCCGATGTGGTCCCCTGACTATCCTACCTCTGGCAAAGGACGTTACCTACAAATCGCTAGCTGCACTTCGTTATCGTTTGCTTCAGCCTACGAACTCTGATGAATTTGGGGAGTTATGCAGTAAACCGTAGTCTAGTGCAAAGGTGAGTGTATTACAACACTGCATAGACCGGCCGAAAATTAAAAACCCAAACACTCAAACACCGACTGGCGGTAGAGAAGGCAAAGGCCGATAGCCAAGTGGAACACATTCTAAAGAAAAATTCTAAGACCTATATTCCGATGACGGGACTATTCTCGTTCAAATCCTTATCTGAACAGAACTACAAACACTGGATGCCGGTTTCTCAAAATTAAAACCGATCGATCGTGATGAAAACCTCCCTCGAACTAGTCGCGTTTTGCGTCATTGCTTGAATCCGGAGGCCTGCACTCCTGAGGATGTGAGTGCAGCAACAACCCCGACAATCTACAACGCATCTGTACCCACAAACATTGACCACGAAGAGGGGGACAACAGTATATGCAGGACCGACTAAGCATAGGCGATGCCAATCCACCATCTTGCAGGTTTATTTACTAAGCGTGAAAACAAATAGCTGTTAATTGCTTGATCTTGTGAGAAATAAATTAGCCTATGTTTGGAGCCAAAGGTTAAGTATACACGGTTATATACGCGAATAGAATTATAAGAAAAAAGTAACCACCAGAATGCAACCTGACAATAAATTGTTATTGAGTGCTGTGTCAAAGTTTTTACAGGTCGTATTTTTTGGCACATTAAAACAAAATGCTTTTTATGTCACTACAACCTCACAGAGCTGTTGATTGTGCTGACAGATGAGTCTACAGCCTTACGAACTGATGTGACTCATGTCCTGCGATCGTTCAGAACGTAAAATATTAAGACCAACGTCATGGTTGTGGTTGATATAACCATATCTTTACACATTTTCGGGTAGCCATCGCTATCGCGGTTTTAATACTCAAACGGGGATTCGAATAGTCTATATCGCGGGCCAGTTCCTTTACAGGTTTGCAGATTGCGTGACCAAACCGTCTGAGACAGCAGTCCTTTGCTACTTCACCAGACGTGTCGCCGGTTGGCGGTGAAAGTTCACATCTTAGCGGCATTTCGAAGTGTTACCCGGAAGCAAAACTAGCCGGAAACCTCGGCAAAGCGTAGCAGGCACCTTTTGCAGCCATTGAGCAGGATAAGTTTGGTCGTAATCTCTCTAACTTAAATCGTTGCCTTCTGACGAACCTCGCGGAGGCAACCTAGCATTATCAGGCTCAGCAAACCGTGCTGCATACGACTTGTGCGTGACGATTTATCTCCTCTTTATGTTGACTTCTAGGCAACGGAAAATTGAAAAAATGACCTACGGCCCAGGCCACTTGCCATGGAGAACTGCACTGTTTGCGGTGAGGGAAAGCTGAGCAGCGCGTTTTGTCCTCAACGCTCAGTTAAAGTCAAGTTTTCAGAAGATAACGATTACTTGGTAAAGAACAGATAACGTTTTACGAAAATTTCGCAATTCCGACGATGCCATTGGCATACTGGAAGTCTGGTCCTAACGGTACAATCATGGAGTGTTGTGAACTGACCCGAATTAATCACATATTTGAAGAATTCGGCTGCGGGAAACCAACCTCGTCTGACGCCAACGTTGACAGCGAAGTAGTCGTTTTTTTCACTCTGCACGTTGGTGTCATGCCAGAATCAAGCTTAAACGATGTTAGGACATGCAACTAGGCTTCAAGTCTTGATGCTTTTGGCGAAACAATGAGACAGACAACCCGACAACGAAGCTTTTGTCTAAAATAGTCACTGATTGAGAATCCATCTGCCAAGACGAAGTTCGCCCTAATTTGCCTTATCCACTAAGTCCTACCGGATCGAAAATGACTGGGAAAAAGGACGCCAGTACTTTTCTGCCAATGTCAATTAAACTGATGCTCCTGTCTCAACGCAAATCAGCCTTTCCTTTCCACTGGAAGTAGACAGGGCAGCGCTGATCAAGTCATGTTGGTTGAAATCGGTGTATAACAGTCGTCAAAATGTTTTTTTTTGAGGCCTCTCCGAAAAAACAACAGATTTCGTAGGCCTTGGCTACTCGCAATTCTGTTGCTTCGAAAAAAAGATTTTCTGCTAAAAAGGATCGGTAAGGCAACTGTTAGATAGCGAGCGGGACCTTAGTTGTCAACGGATGTGTTAGTTCTCATCAATCTGTGAAGTTTTCATGAGAAGTAGGTTTAACAACTCCGCTACCCTAGACGTAAGTGCCAGATTCTCTGTATTCCTAGTGTTCAATTATGGACAGTGACGAAATTGCCTGAAATGTCAGTCATTGATAAAATCAAACCACTTTATTCTAACTACGGGGCACAAACAAGCAATTTACTTTGCTTAAAGAAGGGACTTAACTGGCAGTTTCAAAAGCCGCATGCTACGGAAACGCGTTATTTCCATTGACAATTTTTTAGCATGTTGGTCGAGTACCCATTATATGTTCTAATAGGAGAAACAGACGTGGTTCAGAAGTGCAACGTCTACCATCACGTCAAATCAATTTGTCATTTCAGAAGAAATAATCCTTAATTCTCTTATACATTTTATGAAAGCTATGCTGCTGTATTCACCGAAGTATTCAAAGTTCACTGTGGGCATATCACGCACAGTCAGCAGTTTGACAATGACCTAATACGCGCCCATAGTATCTCCTTGTTTCCTGTCTAGGTTAAAATTTACTCACTTCCACCACGGAAGTCTACGGCTCTTACACCAAAGATACGGCACCGCTGCTCAGCTCCGACGGACAAACACTTCTCACAGAGAAATCCCAGATTATGAAGTGCTGGGTCAAACATTTCAGACGTGTCCTCAACCACCATCTGTAATCTCCGCCACCGCCTTTGATCGGTTCCCCCAAGTTAAAGCCAATGCCCCCTCATGGCCGCGCGCCTGTCCTCAGAGAAACCATCCGAGTCAGTCACCGAACCTCCAGCGGGAAGGCACTGTGACCTAAGGCAATTCCTGCCGTAGCACGGCAGCTCCAGGCTAATGGACAAACTTACAAGGTTGCTCCAAGAGACATGGCACAAAGGATAATTTCCTTAAGGTTTTGAGAACGCGACAATCGTCCATCTCTTCAACCGCAAAGGCAACTAGTAGCTCTGTGCTAACGACAGGTGAATCTCGCTGCCCAACACTGCCGGGGAGATATTTCCTTGCAATCTTCTCAATCGTCTTAACGACCATCTCCAATACGGACTTCATCCGGATGGGTAACCGAGCATGAATCTCTTCGTCGAACGCTGCGCAGACTTCGGGCAACACGGGTAAAAAAAGTTATCATGCACCAACCCTCACCAGACGCTGAATACAAAGACTCCTCATCACTGCCAATAGCACCCAACTCAAATCCGTGGAAAAGATCCGCCTTTTATCCCGAACACTCTCACGCCACATCAAAATCGACGGCAAAGTTGCGCAGAGAATCTCCAAAGTCAGCAAAATCTTCGGCTGGCTACAGGCATCCGTCTGAAATCGTTGCGGACTTCGACCTAAAAATGCAGAGGGCAGTAGTCCTGACAACGCTACTGCACAGGGTAGAGACACAGACCGTTCAGGTCTATCGGGTCATGAAACTCAGTCATTTCCACACTAATTGTCTTCGGAAAGTACTGAAACTGAGAAGGTTAGACAGGATTCCGGACACTGATGTCCTCGAGCGAACCGGAATCCCCAGCAGACCCCATGCTGACGAAAATGCAACTGCGCTAGAGCGGCCTCCTCGTGAGGATGAATGACGAGCGTCTACGCAAATGACTCTTCAACGATCATGTCGTTGAAAAGGAGGAAAAGAATGCCGTTACAAGGTTACTCTGAGAATACCTGGCTCGCAACTTCTAAGCAACCCGGAGACCGGGGGATCTCGTCTTTTACTCACTGATCTGGAGAAAAGCAGCGAGAACTAGAGCAGCCAAATAGAAGCCGACTAGATTACTGCTGGCAAGGCTAAACGAACGGCTCGCAAGTCTTAAGCGCCTCCGAGCCACAACGTCAACACCCAATCCTATTCTAACATGTCCACACTGTCAACGAACATTCCGTGAGCGGCTCAGCCTCGTCGGGCATCTTCGGACTCAATTCAACAACAACCCGAGAATTCTTCCTGCTACCCGAACGCCTCTACCATCGTCCCTGCGCCAACTTCTACGAAGGCGACCAACACCACTGGTGATCACACTCCTGATGTCCAGACGTCGTCGCCGCCGCCGATGCCGAGGTCGTCGTCGTCGACTGCCACTACCTCTATCATCCCTACCACAACCCAACGACGACGGTTACGAAGACAACAACTACGATCTCTCCCGCTCCTGTCATCGGTAAGAAACCGACAACCGCCGCAGTCACAGCACCCACTACCAGAAATTCGGGTTCGATCCCAACTCGTCGTCATTGCAATCGCGCCCCCACATAATGCTCTGACCTGGTCGTTCACTTATGAATAGATCGCGCAGAGACTGGCGGATCACTGCTAGGAGCCCTGACATACGTTCGCGCCTCCGCCTTCAGTGTCCGCGCCGCCCACGCACAATTAACTGCCACATGGTTCTATTCGATCAGGTGCGTATCCACGACAACATAAGTCACCGCAATGATGACACGCCAAGTGCACCTTGCAGGTGCGACAACTCCCCCATCTCCAACATTATCAACTCCCGCTCCACCTACGTCTTCATCACTAGCAGTATCAACATTGCAACCAACTTAGCATCTGCCAAACGTTCCTGCCCGTTATGATACCGCACTTGCTTCACTGGTGTGTTCGGTCATTTGCGAATCCATCGCACTATGCCTTTTTTGGTAGGGCAAACGATGACGATGCGTACCTTGTCCCATGCACAAGTGTGCACAGTATCTGATGTATGTATGGTCATTTAAGATAGGCGGTTTCGAAACTGAACATCTAACTGATGCTTGTGGATGCGTGTGGAGGCAGATTTCCAGTTTGGTCACAATATACGGCATCGCACGCTTCACGTGGGATCTTGTAAATGACACCCTTCTTCTACAAAGAGAGAGAGAGGAGAAAAAAGTTGCCCTGTCTTAAGCTTGCGGTGCCGTATATTGTGGCCAAACTGGAAAGTCTGCTTCACACGCATCCACGAACATCGTTTAGCTGTTAAGAGCCGAGACCACCTTCTTCAAATAGGCATGCCCAGATTAGAAAAAGGAGCAGGGTAGAAAACGAGCGGGGTAACTTATATTTACTTGCACCTTAATCTGTCCTGTTTATCTGTTCATACCATTAACAATGCCGAAGTCTGCGGAAGTCTTATGGTAGAACACGGGTTATTACTTAGATGTCTAGTATGCCTTCCTACGAAGCTATCAGTTGCCAGTTTTTTAGGTTAGCGACATTAGCCATCAGGATACAGCATTCTTGCAGATTTTACGGCTGCCCAACGCGCGTCAACCCCCCTCCACATCTCTGGAATCGTACTGACTACTCTCTGCCTTCTTCTGGGTCCCATTTCAAAAAATACTTTGCAAAAAGCAGCCAGCAAGCTGCGTTAGTAACATCAACAGCGTTTTGTAATTATGGGCATGAGAGGATTCATTTTCAAAATCGCCAACTGTCCTCAATACACAAACTTGGTGGTTTCTATAAGCGTCATGATACTGAACATAGTATACAATCTTCAAAGGGCAAGGACACTCAAGATGATCGATGATTCCATGTCGTATCCAAATTAAATATTTTATGGACACTGATATGCTAGGGAGATATGAAATCGTTATCAATAAAGAGCTCGGGCACAATATTGCCGATCGACGCGCACATGGGGAGAGTCCAAGGGACGGCCTTGACCTTCCCAAGGAGCAGAAGGAAAGTGCACTCCTTTGTTTAATAATATCCCTCAACTTCCTCCCAAATTTTGGCCTGGGAACCAATTCTAGAAGGAACTTATAGGGCTCAATCTCTTGTCAGATAGGGTGATACTATCCTTTGATGTCACTTCCCTCTGTACTCCGACCTTCTGGTCCGGGTAGTGAATACCACCATATCAATCCCACAAAGCACATAAGATGAAAGGGAGAACAGTCTCGACGAACAATCTACGAGCAGGTGAAATACATGTCGATGGGCTCGCCGATTTTGGATTCGCAGCCGAGGCGGTCATAAAACGCTTTGTATCCACAAGTCTTCGGGGACCGTATACCTACATTATGGGCTCGGTATATGGATGATGCCTTCGTCGTCATCGAAAAGTGACAGTCACAAGTATCTGAACGTCGCCTTTGCCGACATTCGAAAAAAAGATAAATGTGTGAAGGCCTTTCTTGGTGTCCTCATCTGTCGAAATGATTCAGGTGAGCTACTAACCAGATATGACGCTGTGCTCAGCTTAAACAGCAACCATACAAACAATCACAAATAAAGTTGCATGAGAACGCTGAATTGGCGCCTTGAGGCAGCCTATCGTGGGGATTAAAAGAGCACTTTCGACGAACACTTTTAATAAATCAGTCGGCGCATGTAACAACAATACGGAAAACGAAACTACACACGACTAAATCCTTAACCAGCGTTCACGTAAGTCAAGAACCGCTCAAATTTGCACACGAGTCTAAAGCCAGCTACCACGACACAGATTGGCTTGAATTGTTAACCGAGCCTCCTTCAAAATACGTGTTGAAGGAGTAGGATAGTAAATCCAGGCGTCAATGACCAAACATACATCAGTAGGAGGGATAAATGAGGTCAGCGGTCATTTAATAGTACTCGAGTAAGTATTTGAATCTGAGAAGACTGAAATCCCTTCTAGGAGGGACAACTGCGGGAGTCCTGCGATATTTGAATCTCGATCCTTCGGTTCGCATTCCACCGACACAACCAATGACTTCATTTCCCACATTCAGCCCTTTGACTTTACATAGGCGGAGCAACTACCCGTACGGTGCACTTTTGGTTAGACGCTGCTCAGGCCCAGTACTGAGGAGACAACATTTTGAGTAATAATCACGCCAATCGCCATTTCCGAATTCGTAACAGTGATCCATAGCGTGGCAGATCAAAAACTTGTTGTTCCAGCTGGAAACACGTGTAATTAACTCGAGAGCTGCCATTTACAGTAGGCGGGTGGTTGGACAGTGGCTGAATACTATACGTATTGTGAACCTGTCTGTTCGTCCTCCATGGCTAACTGCCTTTGCTTCTGACGATGGATTCGATAGTGGATGTGAAACATGCGGCAGATAAAGTTCTTGGTCCAGTGAACGAGTCCTCTTCGCAAATTGTGTATCATTTCCATTAATGGAGTGTATAAATACCAAATAAAGGGCGCATTTTTCCAAAATCAGAACTCCCCTGTAGAGAGTGGTTGTGAGAAGCACCCAGGTAGATTCACACACCTCTGTGTCCATAGCCGCTATCCCAAATCCATTGAATCCCAGACGGGAGGACGCGGATTTACCAGACAACTTAATTTCAAAGCTGTTGCACAATCAGGTAAAGCAGGGGAACAGTAGGATTTCTAAGTAACATCTTGGGGGACCAGTCATTTTAGTCAAAATTACCGAAGTTAATAGCAAACACACAATTTAGTTTCCTAAAAAGTTGACAAAATTATTAGATTTTATGTCGGCTTTCCGCCGGATTTTATCAGTTTTGAGGACGTCAACGAAGAATGGCAAGGTATAAGGGCGTTTGAATATTCATACTCGTGGCCAGTAGTTTCAGTGTTGTATTGACCTCTGCGAGTCTGTGTGTGCAAATGTCTGTTTTCGCTTTTTCTCACGTAAGGCCGACCTTTTTTTCTACAGTCTCCATGTGACCATTATACGAGAACAATATTATAAAATCCAGCAATTCACGGTGTGTCTTTTCCAGTGGAAACCAATGATTAACCTCCCATTTATCGATTTTCCACAAACCCGTGCCACAGTAATGGCTTAATTAAATTTTGTCCGCTCCGATTCCTGAAATACGAGCCCAATAAGTTTTCCGTCTTTTATATTGCCTATGCATGCGTATCCGACCGTGGTATGCCATGAAAAATATAAATTGTATTTTTCGGACTTTGGTGTAACAGACATAAACACATTACAATAGCGAAGATTCCCACGAACCGATGTGCTGTCTTTTCAGAAATCTTGTTTTTTAGATGTAACACTGAACAGCAATACGTTTATAAGAAAATTTCCGCTAATCTCAACATCATAAGGAGCAGACTATGGCTCCAAGAAAATTTATTTCAATCAAATGTTGACCTTAAAGGGGTCTTAAGTTCGGAGTAGCATATCTTACCAGTTATAACAAATGTATACATTGCTACAGATCAGAGCACTAAAATTCCCGAAGATGACGTTCCAGAAACATAAGTGACCGGATTACAATCATGATTTAACTCCCCTAGACACAGAATGCATATGACCCTATTATTTTCATTTTATTTCCATTGTAAAGACATTTGCTTGTTTTGTAACTAATCGCACGTTAGGTTTTCCCACCAATTGCATAGTCCGCAGTTTGTGCAACCCAAGGACAGATGATTTTAAACGACGCAATCCATTGCTAGCTCATTCTCATCCGCTTTGGAATGATGGAGAATTTCAGTAACACTTAAAGCTATTCCGGTATCCGACTGGAAATGAAATATGACTTTCGAAAAATGTCTGATGGGATAGGGACTCAGTTTATTTAGCCAGCTGCATATAATCCAGGAAAACATTATATGGAAGTCTTACCACTGCGGTGCTTAGCACTAAATAAAAGCTGTCATTCCGTGTTAGAAAATCCTGCTGGTCAGATAGATCCTGTTGGGGTTAGTGATAATCCGGCGTTGATACGAATAAGCGTACCACGTGAAATGAACAGAATGTGATGGACACAAGGGAGGCAGAATGAAGGAGAAAGATGAGAGAGGACAGCCCTGTTTAAAGCTTTGGCCGGTGCTCGAATCAGCCTCTGCCAATTTCAATGCCTTTCGTCGGGAGAGGGTGGGATAGATCCGTTGTTTCAGGCTTGCGCAAAACCGCACTGGCCAATCAACCACAGGAAAGTCCTGATTGGTCAGCAGATAGCAACCGGCGAGCGAGGGACAGACAGACTGGGAACTGTTCATAGACGGGCATGTTTCTGTGTCGTGCATACACACACAGCGGCGAGGCTCGTGAAGTAGGGAAAGTGGGAAAAGCTAAATACAATTTCTCATGCCCTTTATCGATCGCAGAGCGATCTGGACGGCTGTGGAGACCGCATGGAGGAAACCTCTTTTCTCTGCGACAATTCACTTTGTGCGTGTGTGTTTGTGTCCACACAACTCCTGGTTCCCCCTAGAACGCGCGGGGCTCAGATGCCAAGCGTAATATTTGGCCTGAGTTCTGTGGCGGACAGAATGCCAGTGTTGAGTCTGCCCCGTTGTGAAGTTAAACTAGCTTGCATTCAACAAGAACTAAAACTCCCGCTCAGCGACCTATCGCCCGTGAAACATAGCGAGCGTGAGACTTGAGAATGAGGTCGAGGCCGAGCAAGTTTTAGACCGCATAATTAGTATAACGTGCAACTTTCCTGTTTCGAGGCAATTAAAGGACTGGTATTACCGACGAAGACAAGGGAGACTGGAATGGCCATTTCTGGCTTATTAGCCGTCGTCATCCAGTCATACCCAAGCCCGAAGTGCGGAACACCCGAGCCTCGAACTCGCGGCCTGTTGGTTTAGAAGTCCACGCCTCTACTCACCGGGCCACGAGCCCGTTGCCTTGTCGGTTTTCGATCGGGAATATACAGTGGTAGGGGGCGCTCACCGATCGTTCATACGGAACTCACTCGTTCCGTTGTGCCTTATGGACTCTCTCTCGAGCCCAACCAGCAGCCGCACAGCGGCGCATGATATATAGGCAGAATGGTATTACCGACAAAGACAAGGTAGACTGGAATGGCCATTACTGGCTTATTAGACGTCGTCAGCCAGCCATACCCAAGCCCGAAGTGTGGAACACCCGAGCCTCGAACTCGCGACCTGTTGGTTTAGAAGTCCACGCCTCTATTCCCGATCGAAAACCGACAAGGCAACGGGCTCGTGGCCCTGTGAGTAGAGGCGTGGACTTCTAAACCAACAGGTCGCGAGTTCGAGGCTCGGGTGTTCCACACTTCGGGCTTGGGTATGGCTGGCTGACGACGTCTAATAAGCCAGTAATGGCCATTCCAGTCTACCTTGTCTTTGTCGGTAATATCATTTTGCCTATATATCATGCGCCGCTGTGCGGCTGCTGGTTGGGCTCGAGAGAGAGTCCATAAGGCACAACGGAACGAGTGAGTTCCGTATGAACGATCGATGAGCGCCCCCTACCACAATTAAAGGACTCTCTGAACACAACAGACGAAGTATCAGCGTTAAACCTCATTCAGCTGACGTATTGATGACGGGATCGATTATGATTAAGGGGTAGGACAGTTCGACCGTTCTTGCCGACGATACCCACCGTGTGCTCCGCAGTCATGTGAAGCAGGAACGGCTATGCACGAGATACGAGGTTTATTCTACCTGCTGTTGCCACAAAGGGCTGTTTTAAGAGTCACTTGGTAAAGGTGCAATTAATGTTCCATTAAGCGAAAATACGATGCTGTACACTAGTGAGTTCTCCTTGTCCCACAGCTTAGGCACAAAGCCACATTTCCTGAAAGAAAGTGCCTTTCGAAACTTATTTGGAAAACAGCTGAAATTTGGTCTCAAATTGAATTGAAATCTGATCATTCCGATGTCCTGCATGCATGTATAATATTTGACGGAGACGTGATTTGCCATTAAATGTGTACAAGAAGAAGTATTTTCATGCATTTCTTCTATAAAACATACTTGAATTGATAATGGGAATCGAAACCCATTGGAAAAAAATTCACGCAGTTTTGTTTTTATAGGTGCCCAGAAGAAGTTCGCCCAAAAAGCGAAAATCTAGACGTTACTGAAATATCCTAGAATGATGCTCCACGACAAAAATATTGCAAGCCTAAGTACGTATTCTTTTCGAATAAGGAACACGTTTTAGAATGTCGGCTTATATTTCCTGAGACAAATTAAGCGTCAGTCGACAAATAGGCGACAATTTGGAACAGCATTTTTAAAACATCAAACCATCAAGCACTGTTACTTTGTGTTGTTCAAATCTCTTGGCAATATTAGACCAGATTTTTGAGTGCTACCCGGTGAAATTTCGTACAGAAGTCTTTCAGGATCATAATATTGGTGACCACAACACGTTTATTCAGTCCTCCAGTTTTTACAGTTCGAACAACCGTATTCTCGTGGAGTTATTTATCATCAGTTTCCTGTACCTAGTAACTTCGTATTCACTCTCATTTGCTACCGCTACATCATTCATTTTAGCCCATTTCCAGTGCAGCCTTTAAGTCCAGCTACCAGTGTGTCTAGCCTTGCTCTAATATGGTTATTATTCGACTTCAGACTTTCGCATCGTCGACTCAATACGAACAGCCTCAATTCTTTATTCGACAAACAAACGTTTGACGTCCCAGCTAGAGCATAATCTAATCGCATACTACCAATTTTTTTCATTCATTTTAGCCCCTGCTCAACATTTCGCCACAGATCCCCTGTTGCTGCATAGTCGGTTCGCTCCCGACTGTCTTTGCTCGTACAACCACTCCTGTCGTGTCAGACGGCACCGCTGTTTACCGTCTTGTGTTTTAGGATATTTTCCGTAGAAAATTCACTCTCACGATAGTAATTTCGATACTCTCAGTTCTCTCACCGCCCTCAACTAGCCTTCTCACGGTTTTGGTCGGAACACCTGTTGTAACCGGCGCTAAAGTTAGTTAGCACTAATTCCAGCTGACTCCATGTTCCCCACTCTCTCATTTCCCCTGCAAGCACCTAATGCAGTACCTATTCGGGTACATGGTCATTAATCGCACATAAAGGATATCTACTCATAGCATGATGTCTCTGTTTGTTAACCACTGTTGACGCCTTCATAGGCATATTTGCTGTGAGTTCTTTAGCACAGTAGTCGTCCTAATGGCACTAAATTCAAGTAAATCAGTAAATTAATAACTCCCTTGCCTGCTAGCGCCTAATCTTCTGTGAAGTGTGATGCGTGAACACTGGAACAAAACTTTTATTTACCACACCGTTTGGATTAATATTTGAACTCAATATCAACAACAGTATCAGATACGGGACTGCTCACGGTGGTGAATGCGGTAGCCATCCACTTTGATGCCTATGTGAGTACATTGCAGTTTCAAGCTTTATGCGTTTTTGACCTTACATGTTGCCCATTTTGATAACGGGTTGGAGTTTGAATGTGAAATGTTAGGCAAATAGGATTTGTGTTCTAGCAATCACGTCTCATTCTTCTCAGTTGCCTCTTAGAACTCGTATGTTCATTTATTTATTCGGTGTTAGCTCATCCCGCGGCATACAAAATTCGTCCATTTCATTTTTTAGTTTCGATCACCGTCTGCTTTTAGGATTTCCAGGCTTTCCGTTCATTTTCCGACCTTCGCTGTTTACACAGACTGTCAAACATTCAGTCCCGCGTCGCATTTCCATTACCGTAACACTGGTCCTCGGTCGCGCTTGTAGGTTAGCTAGGGCTGTACACAATCATGTGATGGACCTGAATGTCGTGCGGTCATCCACTAGACCATGATTTAAAGAAGTCTGCCAGAGACTGGAGTCTACGTGCTACTGTTCGAATAAGGGTGCTCCCTCACGACCGATATACATTTGTCTTCAGAGGTCGTTAATGCATTACTCGCATATTACCGGCCGGATCTTTTACTCAGAGTCCTTTTGTCCAAGGAGATGTCCCAGCACGATCATTACAGCACCGCTTTGTCCTTCCGAGTTCCCATGGACGCACGTTTACTCACGGCCCAACTAGTAGGGCATGTCCTGTTTCGCGGCTCGCCATGTTGATTTCCCTACGATGATGCTTAGAAAAGTGCATCAAGGTAAAATACTATTATTATTATTATTCTAATGTCCCGAAAAAGAGTTGTTTACACTCCGTGTTTACTTTTAGCTTATGTCAATGACTTGTTAAGTGTGCAATTCCAGATAAGCCAAATGCCTTGACCACTAGCGTCTCATTTTTCACCGTTTAGTCAAATTCGCAATTGTGTAATTCACCATACACACAATAACATTACTAGTTAAAGACCCAAACACGCGTTCCGTTGATTTTCTATCGCTGAATGATGCAGTCATTAGTGGTTTAGCCCATTAGCTGATACTCCAGCGTTTCCCATGTTCTCTGCCTGCCGTTGGTACATACCACTATGCGGAATAATGTACTATTTGCATACTACTGTCCGCCGGTTTTAGGCCCGTAGATATTTTGTGATTCTTCCGCTGAAGCCGATGGAATTCAGGTAAAATGGGCTAAAATGGGTTGAGCCTGAAAACGGTTTATTCTGAGGAGAAACTTAAAATTGGAGGTTGTCGTTAAACTCCCGATATGAGTTTTAAATTTTATCTCACTGACGTTTTCGGGCGATGATGTGAATTCTTTGATCGACCACCAACTTGATGCCAAACTACAGACATTTCGTAAGTTGCAAGCTGTCCTCCAACAATTTCAGGATTTTCTCGGATTTATTACGGATTTTGGTAACCGATGTTATTTCAGACTAACCCGATTTTTGGCAAAAGCTTACTCAAAGCGGGCCTTTCAAATTCAGCTGCCCTTCTCATTACTGATGTCAAACTCGCTACTGGCGTAGTCCTTCAGCAACATGCCCCGTCAGGCATTGCACCGACAAATTTAATCCTCCATCTAGTTGTCCCACAACAAACTTTAATCATTTTGAGCATGTTCTGGGAGCATCTTGCTGTTTAGTTAAAAACCAAACATTCTGGAACTTCGCCAAAGGATGAGACTTTGAAGGTCTTTAAGGAAATGCTGACAATTTGTTATACATAAAAGCCACCTTGCCTCAAAGCTGACTTGAACCCTTCCATATCTCACCTCGTTAATGAAACCGCCCTATAAGTTCTCGGTGGTAGTTTCGTGTCTTACTCAGGCCTTGCTAGTGTGGGCGACACTGGTGATACATAGCATTTACCTCACGCAATGTCCCAACTTCTAACCGGCCCTA